GCTCATTTCGCCTCACCACACTCTCATCAACTTTCATCATCTTTCATCATCTTTCATCTACAATTTGCAACTTCTAGTGGGGAACTCTTCGTAACGATGGCCTTCGCCCATCTCCAATCCGAGTTGCTTCCAAAGCCTTCAGCGCACGGCAAAGTGCCACAGGCAAGATGCATTTGATGCCAAATTGACACATGACTTTGTTGCTCAAATTGATGGCATTTGAAACGGCACTGGAGTGATAGGATGTGATAGGATGTGATAGGGCGTGGAAATCTCAGGTCCCCCGCATCTCATCCACCAATTTGGCTTGGGATGGTGTGAGCTCCTCTCTCCAGGAACCTAAGTGGCAGCAAGATCGAGCCAGCGGATCTCAGGCTGCCAGCATCTGCCAGCGGTTCAAGCTGCAACTGATAACTTCCAGCAGGCTGACGGTGCGCTGGACTTTTTGAGGACGCAGAGGGAGACTCATGGTCTTCGCCCGTGGCTATCTGTGAAAAAATCTAAACGCGCAGGCTGGCCAAATACAGCCTGACACTGGGCAGCAGCCATTGCGCCCAGCACACCTGCAGAAGCATATGCGGTGTTCGATAAACGAGAGTTTCTACATGCTGAGACTTTGTTCAGATGTGTCCTCCAAATCTTGTCACTGGCTTGTTGCTGCACACTGTGAGGTGAAGCGTAGTCCCCATAGTATGACTTGAAAGGTGATGAGAAAGACTTCAACACTCACTGACAACAAGGAACACGTTGCTTTCAAAAGCCGTGAATGGTTTGGACACCTGTTGGCGACTGCACAGACCGAAGGCCTTCAAGGGACCATGATGGACCATGATGGACCATGATGGACCATGATGGACCATGGGCCATGAAAGTCTCCCAAGGACATCTGACCGAGCTCGCCTTAAGTCCAAGCTTGCCGCGCTTGCTGTGAAGCCTGGAGACTGAGACTTCTGGAACTGATGCACCCGAATGGAATTTCACGACTTTTTGCTCACGAGCTCGTAGGCAGAAAAAACGGAATGAGAATGAACTTCAATGAACTTGATTCAACTTGAATGTGAGACAACCTCCCTCAAATTCATTTAGGTGTCCGAATCCATGCGACTTACCGTTTTACCTTGCCTGATGACCCTAGGTCCTTGAATTACTTTCTCCGCTTTTCCCTTCGATTGAAAGATACTCAATAGACTCAATACAGTATTGGTCGATCTTCCAATATCTTTCAATGTGGTTTCATATGCAAGTCAGATAAATTAATATAAATTATATAATTCACATTGTTTTCCCATGGTTTCCCTCTTTGGTCACTTCATGTCACTTCCAAATTGTTTCCTCTCTGAAGTTCCTCCGCACTGGTGCCTCTCTGAAGTTCACCAGCTCTTTGGCGACGACCTCGGCGACATCAGCCGTGGCTCACAGAAGTCTCAGCAAATCACGGCATCTTGATGCATCTTGATATATATATATATATATTGACAGAAATTGACAGAAATTGACAGACTTTCGGAAGTCCTAGACTTTGTCCAAGATGTCTTAGACATGTTTCTTCAGCAAACTCAATTATTTGGATCACACTAGCGCTTCTTCAATCATCTTCCACGGTCCACTTCATCAGAGGGAACCCCCATCAAGCTGATCAAGGAATCAACAGATGTACGAAATAAACTCTCAGAATTGCCTCAAACATCCTGAAACACACTGTGGTAGTCTGCGGGGTATGAAATTTGAAAATGACCTCTTGGGGATGTTGACATCTGATGTACGCCTCTCTCTGCGCCGAAAAAGAACCATATATGTCCACTGGATTCAGCCACAGACCTCTTTCAGAACATCTGCCTTTGCCTCGCAGAAGTCTTGTTGCCATCTCCCGGCATTCGGACACGAACACAGGCTCTAGTACCAACCGCTCACAGAATTGCCCAAATGTCAGTCAGATTTTTGGACGCCGACGATGGAATAAATCGACAAAGTAGGATGATGGATCAGCAATCTCAACATGGACAAAGTCTTGAAAAAAGTCTTGAACAAACCGCAAAGAATGACAAAGAATTACAGAAACACAAAAGCATCAGACCCCTCCCGACCTCAATGTGCCAGGCCCGGAACCAAGCCAGCATCTGCTCAGAGGCAGTGGCCAATTCCAATGGAATCAGATCGCCAGCATATGCAAAAATCATGTGGCAGTATGTATCAAAACATATCGAAATTGGTGCAGAGCGCCTCCTCCAAAAGAAAGACCTCTGAGCTGACCATCTGACAGTCTGACTTCTTTGCCAACTCTGATAGCCAAGTTGGCGCCTCAAACTGAAGGATCCAAGGTGGAAAATCGGAACATAGGGACAACTACAGCATTCTCCAGCATCCTGGTGCAACTGTTACTGCTTTTCGCTGAGGCCTCGTCCATCTGCAAGGACATATCAATCACCATGGGTTTGTTTGACCTTAAAAATGGCATGAGAGTTTTGGTCAGCAGAGTTTCCTGAGAGATCCTGAGAGTGGATGTTGACAAGCCGTGCGCAGGAGCTTCAGTCTATCCAGCAACTTGCTAAGTGCCAAGTGCAGCGCCCCTCCCACATAATCCTACATACGTATGTTCAACTGTTTTCATCTTTCAATTTCTTCAAACCTGGCAAGTGACTGACATATTTCAGTGAGGCTCTGCTGCAACTTCTCCAGTGGCATCTCCATCCTGAGTCTCAGCAACGTATCACAGCATCGCAGGAGGCATCAGGCCCATCTGTTGCCGCCAAGGCGCCCCATGTAGATCAAAGCGTCCAAATCTTTCACCTGACGGTCTTACAGTGTCTTACAATGTTTTACAATGTCTTACATGCGAAGTTTAAAATCACACTTATTTGATCTAATTTGGACTCTTTACCATTCTACTGGGAATACAGCTCCTGAAAGGCAACGAAAAAACGTCCTTGCCTTGGACAGGTCTTGGACCACTTCCACATCTGGCTCCTCACAGGGCGTGGCCGTGACGATCCGCTGGAAGCCCACAGCATGGAGCCCTGCCACACAGGCAGCTGGGTCGCCACGTTCGCCCAGAATCGCAGCTGTTCGCTTGGAGCCCAGAGGCTGCAGTCGCTCCTACAAGTAGCGTACAGACAGAGTTGGCGTCGGAGACAAAGCTATGCTTGAGATCGTTCAACGCTGAACACACAGAATACTGGAAATTTGGAACGTGGCTAAGGCATGCTAAGGCAGCCCAGGACATCAAGTACGATGAATTAAGTTCGGCGAACCCCTCGAGTTTGAAAGAAAGAAAGACAACAAGCCAAGAAAAGTCAGACAATTGTCAAGGACACATCACCAACGACCAATGAAACTACAGACTCCCGGGTCATCGCGGGTCCTTAAGCCGTTCGGATTTGCAGCAGTGACCCGTCAACTTCCCATTCCGCTGCACCACGCAATCCACATAACTCACGTCTGCCCAAGCTTCAGAGGCCAGCTGCGAGGTGAGTGGTCCAAGGAGCACAGCACCACCCGTGGAAGCCAAAGCCAAAAGCCGTGAAGCCTGCAATAAACATCCGAGAAGCCATAAGAAATTGTCATGAAATAGTCATGAAAGATATGAAAGCATATGAAAGCCATTAACCCTTCAAAGCTTTGGAATATGTTGAAGCCTTGTACATAACATGGCACCATTTTGTAGACCGTTCCTTCGACATGGTGCGGGCCTTTCGTTTTTTAAGTGTCGTGTGAAGACTGTGGATGCGGCGGGCGTCCAAGCTGCTTCAATGTAGACTCACAGTACCCCTTGCGGTGCGTCGCAAATGTCGCACCAGGCCTCTTCACTACTCCTGGCGAAATCTTGCACCGCGACGTGAGGCAACTGCAAAGCTTTGAAGGCTGCTTGAAGGAGCCTGACCGCACAGCGACAACAACCGCCCCACGTGACATACTCATTAGCAGCATTGCACGTAGATGCATCAAGTCTTCAGCACTTCTTGAAGAACCGGTCCCAATACCTTTCGCCCGGGACTGCAGCGCTCCATTCCGAGTGACAAAATACTCTTGGCCTACTGTCCTTCATATGCATATATGCATAATTATCCACAGTACTACAGTATCTAGAGTAATTATTTTACAAAATCTATTGATCTATCGGCACGTGCGTGATGCATATAATGTATATATGTTAGTGCCTAATCATTAGTAGAACATGTTTGAAAATAATAGTCTAATAATATATGGCACCGCGCCTTTGTGTGTGTGTGTTGCAACTCCATGCAAACAGCCACATAGACTAGCATAGGCACACCACCATCATCATCATCATCATCATCATCATGATGTAACGTCGTTCTACAAGGTTGTACCACCTGCCCTCCTTTGCACGTCTGCAGACTGCATGCCGGCGGTACTCCTACATCCTTTCAGAATCTTTCAGATATCCTGGATTTCACAAATAGTAAGGCATATGTAAGGCATAAAGGAAAGTCAACTGGCCGCCCACGACGAGCCTTAAAGACAAGGATGCTGCGGCACTAGTCTTTGGAGCTTCGCCTTCCCAAGGTCCAATCACTGCGAACTGGCGGCTGGTGCCCATCAAACCCAAAGCTTGTCGCGTCTCCAAGAGCTCGGTCACCGACATCTGCCCCGGTGCACCCGGGGCAAGGCTCGGATGCATCGAGGGACACATGACTTGGTTCAGAACCCGCGACAACTTCCCAGCTTCTCCCAGGCAAAGTCCAATGAACGCTGCAGAGTCAGGTGTGGTGGCCTTCCTGTGCGGGACAAGCTCAAAGGATGAGAAAGAACAGCTAAGGCTTACAGGAGGTTTGAAGGTGAGAGACATTGAGAGACCATCAGGTCGGTGAAATGCTATCCGTTACTATCCAGTACTACCCATCGCCATGCCAAAGAAAGACGAAGCTGAAGCATGCTGAAGCCACCTGAGGCTCCTGCCCTACCTCTTGGACTGTCCAGTTGTCTTCGCGGGCTTCTGCTTTCACCACAACTTTGGCAATGGCCGCTGCTCCGCTTAGCATACATCTCTGAAACCTCAGCGATGCTCAGGTCATCAGACGTGATCGCAGATGTGGTTTCGTCCAGTTTTGGAAAGGTGGCGCAAGAATTCAGGATATTCAAATTTTTTTGACCAAACACAAGCGGAAAGCCGAGTTGCACGTCCTTCAATTCCGTCCGGTTCAGCATCCTGGAATTGCGCCAACAACGGCAAGGCTGACGAAAGATAAACCATCCACCCAACCGATCTAATGTCACTTCTTCACCCTGCAAGGCATGTCCTTCCAAAGTTGTGGTAAGAGCCCACCAGCAGCGATGGGCCGCGCTTCGCCACCAAGTCAGCGATGCGAGGCTCACTCCAAGTGCACTCCTCAAAGTCTCCAGGTTTGAAGCGTGGCATCGCGATGCATTGTGACAAAAGCTGACAACAGGATTGAAAGACAACAAGGATGAAACAAATGTGTTTGTTGCAGGCAGGGTCAACAGAGGTGCCACCGAACCAATAGTCATCACATTAGGCATCAGGAATCTATACCAAAGAAATTGTTTTGCCCAATAGATACAGTGCTCAGGGGACAGCAGGACATATTCCAGCAAGATCTGAATGCGATCTTAATGTGGTTGCTCTGCACAGTCGTGCACAAGCCGCTTGAAAAAGTGTTGCAACACAAAAATACCCAACAGTGCCACACCCACTGTGTCTTTGGAAAATGGCGTTCTTTTCTGTCTGGCAATTCCAGGCGAAGCCTGGCTGGGTCTCATGTCAAAACTCTCCATCTGGCAATTCCACTAAGCCTCTGTTTGAAAGTTGGATTCCACAAAAATGGCGCAGCCTCACTCTGAAATGGCTGTCATGTGCATGTATCTTCAAATGAACAAAGCTTTTGGGAAGCCCCAACTGCACTTGGTGACGGTTTGCTGTGGCCACTGGAATCTGTCACTCAGGGCCACTGGGAATTTCTCGAGCTCATTTCCTTGGTTGTCAAGTGCATCGCCACCTTTCAGTCTTGAAATCATCTGGTTTTGAACATGGAATCCCACCAAAATAGTACTGGCAGCAGAGGTAAAGGCAGGATGGGGCAAGAATGTTTTGAAGAAATCAACATGGAGGAAAGTCGCGAAAGGCATCTTTTTGAGACCTATCTTTCATTATCTATCATGACCTTATGCCTAACATAGACCCGGGCAAGCCGGCGGCGGAAGTTTCCCAAACATAAATGACCTATAGTTCAAAGACAACCTGTCCCGACCGTGTCCTTCCCTCGACACTCCACACCTCACACTGCACACTGCACTCTTCGCACTCCAAACTTCAAACTTCACACTCCACACTTCGCACTCACACTCCACTTCTCACTTCTCACTTCTCACTGCTTCCTTCACACTCCAAACCTCACACTTCACACTTCACACTGCACACTTCACACTTCACAGTCCACACTTCACACTTCACACTTCACAGTCCACACTTCACACTTCACACTTCACAGTCCACACTTCACACTTCACAGTCCACACTTCGCACTTCGCACTTCACACTTCACACTCCACATTTCACACTTCTCACTTCTCACTGCTTCCTTCACACTCCAAACTTCACACTTCTCACTTCGCACTTCACACTCCACACTTCACAGTCCACACTTCACACTTCTCACTTCTCACTGCTTCCTTCCCACTCCAAACTTCACACTCCAAACTTCACACTTCACACTTCTCACTTCGCACTTCACACTCCACACTTCACACTCACACTTCACAGTCCACACTTCACACTTCTCACTGCTTCCTTCACACTCCAAACCTCACACTTCACACTTCACACTGCGCTCTTCGCACTCCACACTTCACAGTCCACACTTCACACTTCTCACTTCACACTTCTCACTTCTCACTGCTTCCTTCACACTCCAAACTTCACACTTCTCACTTCGCACTTCACACTCCACACTTCACAGTCCACACTTCACACTTCTCACTTCTCACTGCTTCCTTCCCACTCCAAACTTCACACTCCAAACTTCACACTTCCCACTTCTCACTTCGCACTTCACACTCCACACTTCACTCACACTTCACACTTCACAGTCCACACTTCACACTTCTCACTGCTTCCTTCACACTCCAAACCTCACACTTCACACTTCACACTGCGCTCTTCGCACTCCAAACTTAAACTTCACACTCCACACTTCACACTTCTCACTTCCCACTGCTTCCTTCACACTGCACACTTCACACTGCACTCTTCACGCCCCACACTTCACACTGCTCTAAACCTACGTGCAACAAAAAAACACTAGCGCCAAAATGGAGAAAATCTGCTGACAAATCACTGTCGCAGCCTTCATGCAGCCACTCCAATACGATTTACGAGATCCAGCTGCAAAAGACAATAGGATTACCAATGCAGCCACAGCACGAAGCAACCTTGACACAGCCATTACAATGCGATCTGCAGAGACTGAGTTGCAAAACACAACAGAACTACGCACAACGGCGTCGGAAATTGTAGCTCCAAAACCGGATCTCGACGCCAAAGCGAAAAAAAGACGATTTTGAAGCACTTTTTAAAAGGATTTTTAGAAGGAAAATCACTAGCGCCAAAATGGAGAAAATCTGCTGACAAATCACTGTGGCAGCCTTCATGCAGCCACTCCAATACGATTTACGAGATCGAGCTGCAAAAGACAATAGGATTACCAATGCAGCCACAGCACGAAGCAACCTTGACACAGCCATTACAATGCGATCTGCAGAGACTGAGTTGCAAAACGCAACAGAACTACGCACAACGGCGTTGGAAATTGTAGCTCCAAAACCGGATCTCGACGCCAGAGTGAAAAAAAGACGATTTTGAAATTTTGAAGCACTTTTTAAAAGGATTTTTAGAAGGAAAATCACTAGCGCCAAAATGAGAAAATCTGCTGACAAATCACTGTGGCAGCCTTCATGCAGCCACTCCAATACGATGTACGAGATCGAGCTGCAAAAGACAATAGGATTACCAATGCAGCCACAGCACGAAGCAACCTTGACACAGCCATTACAATGCGATCTGCAGAGACTGAGTTGCAAAACACAACAGAACTACGCACAACGGCGTCGGAAATTGTAGCTCCAAAACCGGATCTCGACGCCAGAGCGAAAAAAAGACGATTTTGAAGCACTTTTTAAAAGGATTTTTAGAAGGAAAATCACTAGCGCCAAAATGGAGAAAATCTGCTGACAAATCACTGTCGCAGCCTTCATGCAGCCACTCCAATACGATTTACGAGATCCAGCTGCAAAAGACAATAGTATTACCAATGCAGCCACAGCACGAAGCAACCTTGACGCAACCATTTACACTGCGGGAACGATCCTACAGTTGCAAAGCACAATGGAATTCCATCGGCAACTCATCCACCAGCAACACTTGCAATCCCATTTACAGTGAGGGAACGATCCTAGAGTTGCAAATCACAATGGAATTCCATCGGCAACTCATCCACCAGCACCACTTGCAATCCCATTTACAATGCGGGAACGATCCTACAGTTGCAAATCACAATGGAATTCCATCGGCAACTCATCCACCAGCACCACTTGCAATCCCATTTACATTGCGGGAACGATCCTACAGTTGCAAATCACAATGGAATTCTGTCGACCGCACATGCACGAAAAACACTTGAAACCCCATTTACAATGCGGAACCGATCCGACCATGATCCGACCATGATCCGAGCATGATCCGACCACACACGAGACCGTCTCGCACCCGTCGCACCGCAGAGGTAGATCATCGAGGTTCGGGGACGGACTTTGTATGGAAAAACATAGGCTTTCGTGCATCTGCTATCTCTCAAAAACGCATTTCGTGCGAGACTTCCTTCAAAACTCCATCGGCAACTCATCCACCAGCAGCACTTGCAATCCCATTTGCAGTGAGGGAACGATCCTAGAGTTGAATCCCATTTACAATGCGGGAACGATCCTACAGTTGCAAATCACAATGGAATTCCATCGGCAAGTCATCCACCAGCACCACTTGCAATCCCATTTACATTGCGGGAACGATCCTACAGTTGCAAATCACAATGGAATTCTGTCGACCGCACATGCACGAAAAACAGGTGACACCCCATTTACAATGCGGAACCGATCCAAGCATGATCCGCCCATGATCCGAGCATGATCCGACCACACACGAGACCGTCTCGCAACCGTCGCACCGCAGAGGTAGATCATCGAGGTTCGGGGACGGACTTTGTATGGAAAAACATAGGTTTCGTGCATCTGCTATCTCTCAAAAACGCATTTCGTGCGAGACTTCCTTCAAAACTCCATCGGCAACCCTCCACCAGCACCACTTGCAATCCCATTTACAGTGAGGGAACGATCCTAGAGTTGCAAATCACAATTGAATTCCATCGGCAACTCCTCCACCAGCACCACTTGCAACCCCATTTACAATGCGGGAACGATCCTACAGCTTGCAAATCACAATGGAATTCTGTCGACCGCAACATGCACGAAACACAGTGAAACCCCATTTACAATGCGGAACCGATCCGAGCGATCCGCATGATCCGAGCATGATCCGACCACACACGAGACCGTCTCGCAACCGTCGCACCGCAGAGGTAGATCATCGAGGTTCGGGGACGGACTTTGTATGGAAAAACATAGGGTTTCGTGCATCTGCTATCTCTCACAAAACGCATTTCGTGCGAGACTTCCTCCAAAACTCCATCGGCAACTCCTCCACCAGCACCACTTGCAATGCCATTTACAGTGAGGGAACAATTTCTTTGCTAACTCTTTCTGTGACTAACTCTTTTCCTCACCAACTCTTTCTTTGACTACCTTGTTTCTTGACTGCTAACTCTTTCTTTAACTGTTTCTTTCACATATCCTGACTAACTCTTTCTTTGACTAACTCTTTCCCTCACTAACTCTTTCTTTGACTGACTCTTTCCCTCACTAACTCTTTCTTTGACTAACTCTTTCCCTCACTAACCCTTTCTTTGACTAACTCTTTCCCTGACTAACTGTTTCTTTGACTAACTCTTTCTTTGACTAACTCTTTCCCTGACGAACTCTTTCTTTGCTAACTCTTTTTTGCTAACTCTTTCTGTGACTAACTCTTTCCCTCACTAACTCTTTCTTTGACTAACTCTTTCCCTGACTAACTGTTTCTTTGCTAACTCTTTCTTTGACTAACTCTTTCCCTCACTAACTATTTCTTTGACTAACTCTTTCCCTGACTAACTGTTTCATTGCTAACTCTTTCTTTGACTAACTCTTTCCCTCACTAACTCTTTCTTTGACTAACTCTTTCCCTGACTAACTGTTTCTTTGCTAACTCTTTCTTTGACTAACTCTTTCCCTGACATTCTAAAAGTCCGTAACACGGAAGTTTCTCCCCCTAAACTTCCTTTGATTACTGCTCCACCAACGTGACGCCTTGCCGAATGATTCGAGTTTCATGTACATTTTGCTCATATCCGCAACGGCGCCGTCCAGGGCATCTGCCAAGGCTGGGTCCACATTCTGCTTGCACTTGACGGCACTGAGCATCACGGTGTGGTGCGCCTCACCAAGGCAGTGGTTGTGAGGCCCACATGTTAGGTCTAGAGTCTAGACGTGTATAATCATGCATAGAAATGTAAACAGGGTCTAGACGATCGAGATTGCAGGAAACTCCAGGAAATTTCAACCATTTTTGGCATTTCGGTGATTGAGTTGTTTACATATATTTATTGCACGCACCTGCAAAGCGGCAATGTAGTCAGCATCGCTGGTGAAGGGGCTCTTGGGATCACTTGGGGGCTTCACGCGCTGGCACAAGCAATACTCCGACATGAGGCTCACGATCTTGCTGGCATGCTCCTCACGGGCGGTGTTTGGCTTCATCTTTGCTCACCAACGCCAAGGTAAGCAAACTTTGGCTCTTACTTCCAGGGCGTTTTTGCCCACACGTGTCAGTGATCAAGTCCACGTCAGGTATGTCACGCCACTCAAGCAAAGTTTTTTTTTAAACGTGCGCTGTGAAGTCTGGCGAAAAAGTCGAAAGGCGAAAGCGGCCAGAGATCTGCTCAGAGCGCTTACTCCACGCAATGTGCGTTTTCTCGGCTCGTTCTTTCTCAGGCTCCTTTTTTGGTTTGATTGAAACGGGTGAACTGATGTGACTTGGGTCCAAAACATAAAATCTGATTACATCGGTTTCAAAGAAGAAGCAGTCATAGGCATGCTGACAGGACAACCCCAAAACGAAGCGCGACAAGTCTCGAAAGTGGATTCAACGGTGTGAAGCTGTTCACCAAACTTATCACAACATCCTGGCTGGTTTTGATGGACTATAGACATCCTGTCTAGTCGCCGAGAACCCAAAAAAAAACAAGCTTGACTCAACTTGCCACTATAAGTCATCACATTTTGAGCACCCCACCGTCAACGGGAGTAGAACCTCATGAAAGGGGCACCGCAAGGCAACTGACGTCTCTTGAACAAGTGAAAAGACATCCAGATTCATTTTGTTGGAAAACAATTGCTGCACGAAGACCTGGGATGTTGCTAGGCGGCTGTTGTCTATTCTTCCAAAGGGTCTTCCGGCGCTCATTCAACTTTAAGGTGCTCATCTTCTCCAGCTCGTCCAGCAAGGCCACTGCCCACTGCACTGCTCAGGCTGTCGACTTTTGTAGCACTCGTAGGCTCATAGCTGTTGGTGGACGCGAGCGCAGCAGTGCCGAACTCAAGTCTCATCTGCACATGTAAGGCCTGCTCCAACTCGTATGCCGTCTCCGGGCTCCGACGCGCCCGGATCTTTAAGATTTGGCTCACCTTCAAGTGGGTGAATTGGCCCTTGTAACCTTTTTTGCCTGCTTTGGAACGTGAAGAGGATTGCAGGAAATTTGCTCATCCCTGTCTTCAGCACCACCTGAATGGGGCTGCTCGGCAGCAGCATGCGGATGATACCGTAGGAGGCAAAGTGGGATGGAAAGTTGACGGGTTCCAACTCCTGCCTGGCCTTCAGCTCGATCGCATTCATCGGATATCCCATGTCACCCAACGCAAGTTGAATCTCACATTGTCGAGCTTCCTTCCTTTGGTATGTGCGACCCACACCTCCAGGTGTGACGGCGCTAGCTGCCGTCTAGCGCCATCGGCAGAGAACCTTGATACGGCCTGTATAAGGTGGAAGATCTCGTACAACCGTGCAAATCATTCAATGATGCAGTCATGATGCCTTTACTCAGAAAATCTCAAAATAAATTTCGAGATTTTGAAGAACAAGACAATGTGTCTAGTCGCTCAGAACCTGAAGAACTCGTGCAAAAGCAAACTGAAGCTTTGGCACACAGAAGCTTAACCTTAAAACTGTCTGTCACAATGCGGAAACATGATGCAGCGATGCTTTTTTCCTGCGAATTTCCTATGTTTGGTCCACAAGACACCATGTCTAGCCGCGCAAAGCTGGAAGAAAAAAAACACGCAAAGCAATACACCAAGTTTCTGGATCATCCACCTGTAAGATGGGATCAGCCATTGCGGCTTCTGGAGGAGCTTCTCATGCTTCTGGAGGAAGGGATTCTGGAGCTACTAGAGCGGCATCTCTCATTTCGGCATCCTGATCTCGCTCACGCTTCACCCGCAGACTTCAGGCTCACTGTAGCAGAGGAACTGGTGTTTGTGCTTTTGCTTCAGCTTGCTGTCTTTCTCGCTTGACGCTGGGGCTTCGGGTTCGTTCTGATGGTGCTTCAGCAGCTTGCTGTCTTTCCCGCTGCTGCTGCTCTAGCCGTCCTTTCTCGCTGCTGCTGCTGCTGCTCTAGCACAGTCCTTTCCAGCTGCTGCTCTACCATCATCTCCAGCTGCTGTATCTTCACTTCCCGCTTTATCGCCTCCAACTGGTGCGAAGCGCGTTCGGCTCTGAGCGCGGCCTCGTGGCGTCTGTCCTTCTCCTGTAGATAGGCTTGCATCGGCCGGATGAGCTGGCCCTGCAAAGGCCACAGTTCTCTGCATCATCAGCTGCACCGCTGCTCCGCCCGAAGGACGTTCACCGTAGGTGTCCTCCGGACAGGAACTACGTGCCAAGCAGGTCTCTCACCCGACTCTTGCTTCACCCCTCTCCTTTCTCTATCTGCAGCTCCCCTCGGTCGGAGGAGGAGGTGGTAAGATACCCATTCCAGTGCCAGATAGCCTGCAGGCAAATGCTGGGTGTCAGCGGGATCTGGGCAAGCACCGTGTCAGCCTCTGGTTTAGCCTCAGCGTTAACTTCCATGGCACCGGGAGAGTCACAATGAAGTGATGAGGCGATTTGCGTGCCTCCAGGGATAGACTGCTGATGTTGTGTCGCAGCCTCCCAGAACACCAGACTGCCTCTATGCTGCATGTTCGAATTTAATGACTGCCTCACAGGCGTCACTGCACATGTGTTTCTGCTGCAGCAGTTATTTAGGAACTCAAGCTCCATTTTCCATGCCTGCTGGTCTGTTCCCTGTATGCCAGCTGCATCACAGCTGAAAGTTCATGCCACATTCCCAACATCGCTGCATTACCACAACTTTGGCCAGGTAGCTTCAGGTATGAAGCTTTCACGAAAGAAAATAGACTTCTCAAGAATCTTCACTCAGAATCTTTGAAAAATTCTGGCAAAGGCTGCTAATCCGACTCTTGGCCTCAGCCGCCACTTGATCTTCAAACGTAGCAACAGCAGCTTCTTGCAGATAAATTTCCAAGACTCGAGAAGAAATCCATTTTCCTTTGCGTCGCACATACTCCGCATCTTCTGTGACCTGCAGCCAATGCGTGGCTCCACCAGGCCTGAGAGAGGCAACTGAATAGGGCATACTGCGTGAGCCCTTCTTCAGGCCTAGGCCAAGCGCTGACTGGAGAGTCCAGAACCTTCGACCTTCTCCGAAATGTCGCTGGGGAAGATGGCCACAACATGGAAGAGGGGCTCAATGATCCAAAGATTGCAGCTAAAAGTGCCACCACATCTCCAGGGTCAATGCGCACCGCTTGGTGTCTTGCAGCCCTGCCTCTAGTCTGCCAATGGGACCTCTGCTGGAAAGCCCAGAAGATGAAGGAAGGTCGATTGCATGCTCCCCACTTGCCATCTGAGAAACCAAGGCCGCAAGTCCAAAACTGCTTGTGCCAGTGCCGGACTTTCCGGAAAATCCATCATGACCTCTTTGGTCTCCCCTTCGGAAAATCCTTGTTTCTTCGGATGCTTTGAAGGTGGTGCAGCACCCCGGCGAGTTGGCGATCCTGAAGACTTGCAGCAGGCAAGGATCCAGGGAAAGCTGAGCTGGCTAAGGGCTGTCTCAAGGCAGATGACTTTCCGACCGCTTTGGCCACCGTCACTTCCATTGCTTGTGTCCCAAGTCGTGAAGCTGAGACGTGATTCCAGGCAAAACTTGAGTCAGCCTGTCCAGATTCTCGGCCAGAGATGCAACCACGCGTTGGCGCCTTTGGGCGTAGGCCCACTTGGAGCTCGCCTTCTTGGACCAGGAGGTGAAAGAGGCTGAATGGAGGGGCCGTCTTCGTCTCCTCCTGCTGGAATCTCTGGCACCTCGTCTGCTGAGTGATACTGGATGCGATCTGGTACGCCTCCAGCCATGCCCAAAGACCATGAAAGTGCTGAGCTTACCAGGGCACTTGGAGTAGGGACAACACTCAAATCTGTGACGTCGAAAGCCAAGACGCCCTGCAAATCTTCTGGAGGGGTCACTGCAGTCAAATGAACTACCACATCTGTGCTGAAATCCACCAAAACGGCCTCTATTTCGTGATCCTATATAGGAACAGGCTCCATCAAAGGGGAATCTTCTGCCAAAAGAGAAGCTGGAACTTGAACATTCAAATGAGGGCCAACTAAATCTGCTGTCCCACCTGCCAGAACTTGGCCCGACAGTGCGTCCATGGGTAAAGCCAACAAAAGACCTTGACGTCGAGTCAGCACGACGTAGGCCATGGTTGTGAATTCTTCCTCGGAACATAGGCCTGCTGCTGCAGCATTGAACACATAGGGTTGATGGCCTGCAGCCACAAAGTCTGAATGGAGCGGCGCCACGCGATACATGTTGGAAACACCGGACTTCACTGCAACGGCTCCGATCCAGCAACGCACACCTCCGCCTCAAACTTCGATCTGTGGCAAATGTGGCTGGGTCCGTCCAAGGTGCCCACTGCTTGAAAGAAGGCCCGACTGCTTCTGAAGAACCTTGGGGATGAAATGCCAGGTCCTCGAAGCACCACGTAGTGCCGGTTGGGCAAATCAATTGCCAGGGTGCGGTTTGGTGAGCCCACACGCCCCTGCTTCACTCCACCACCCCAATTTCCGGCCCGCCAAGCCCTCTCAATGCGCTCCTCACTTGTCCAGCCAGAAGAAGTCTCTTGAAGCAGAGCAGCAAAGGTGAGCAGGACAGGTGGGGAAAGAAGCCTCAATCGATGCCCTTGTCTCAGATGCCTGGGAACTGATGCCAGAGACAGAAGCAGAAGCAAAGGAAGAAGCAGGAGGCCCAGAAGCAATTCCAGTAGAGCCAGTGGAGCTCGCAAGACGCGGCACAAAATCCAAGGAACTGGCAGGAGACCCCCTGACCGTGATGACCAAACCCTGAAACTCAAGTGCAAGGCTAACTGCCTCTTCGTCGTCGTTGGGGTTGATGGACCTGCCCTGATTCATGTACGTACGCACGCACACGATCAAGAGCAACAAACGGAGAGATATGTTGAGAAGCAGCTGAGAGTCCAGGTAGGTAGATGATCAAAGTCCAAGCCAGGCAGAGAGTGAGGAGAAATCCAAGATTGATCCCAAAGAGAAGGGTGGCAAAGACAGTTGGAAGTCCAGCAGAGAAACAATGTGCCGGCCAGGCGATGCCCCACCAGTTGCTGGATACTCTGTGTCACGACACCCAAAACCTGAAGGATCACCTCCATACACCAGAAGCTTGAGATTTAAACTCCACAGTCGTTCTTAAGTGACCCATTCATGCAGATTACCATACTTTATATATCCTTATGTAGTGTGCATTGGGACGTATGTAAGGAAGCAATGCATATGTCATATGCGTGCATTTAAAATTTATATATTCTGTGCCACGTGATGTAGATAGATATGTATATATATATGTGTGTATGATTATGTATGTGCGTATGATTATGTGATTATGTATGTATGTATGTATGTATGTATGTATGTATGTATGTATGTATGTATTAATGTAATGTAATGTAATGTAATGTAATGTAATGTAATGTATGTATGTAACGTATGTATGTATGTAACATATGTATGTATGTATGTATGTATGTATGTCTGTCTGTCTGTATGTATGTATGTATGTATGTATGTATGCATGTATGTATGCATGTATGCATGTATGCATGTATGCATGTATGCATGTATGCATGTATGCATGTATGCATGTATGCATGTATGCATGTATGCATGTATGCATGTATGCATGCATGCATGCATGTATGTATGTATGCATGCATGCATGCATGTATGTATGTATGTATGTATGTATGTATGTATGTATGATTGCATATGTACACAGCGAAATCGATGCACACAGCTTTGCATCATAGAATCCTGCAATATATACCTGTACCTGCATTCAAGATATGCAAGACACATCACAGTCAGACTTGTCAGACTTGTCCTCCTTGGTGTTCACCCAACGGGTCATCTGGTTGATGTTCAAAGGAGTCATGTTGGCCGAGAGCTCTCCGATCTGAACCATGGCCTTCTTAATGGTGGCCACAGCCTCCTTGACATCGGCCACCAGCTTGGGGTCGTCAAAGATGCCACAAGGCACCTGGTGGAAGGTGGCATCATGGTGGCAGAACCAAGGCAGAGCACATACCGTAGATTGTCACATCGGACCTGGCCTAAGCCTGAAACATTGTGAAAATGCGGAAAAAAAGAATAAAAATTGATAAAAATGGACCAATGACATCCAATGACCAATGGTCCCACCTGCCAGTGACCGCCACGGAGGCGCAGCACCAAGTGGAGGGTCGACTCCTTCAACGGATAGCGCTAGCAATTCCAGCGACTGCCTTTGGAGGTTCCATACCGGGCCCTGGAAAAAATGTGGACATCATAGGACATCAACAACATCAGCGCACAAAAGCATCAACTCAGTCCTTCTGAATGTTGTAATCAGAGAGGGTGCGGCCATCCTGGTCAAACGGGAGCTGTGTTATGCTTCAAAACCTTTTGTCAAGTCATACTTTGTTTCTACAGAGCTGCCTGACCATTACTACGGTATCTCCCAACAAGAGTACTTTTTCGTGTGACGAATGCATGTGCCGTTGCAACTTGCACTTGATATGTCGATAGAAGACATGGGCCGACTTTGCGTTTGGAAATCTTGGCCTCCAACTGCTTGCCCGCGAAGATGAGGCGCTGCTGATCTGGGGGGATACCTTCCTTGTCTTGAATCTTTGCCTTCACGTTGTCAATGGTGTCACTGGCCTGGAGTGCTGCCAGAGTGTTACAGGTCCCTCGTCCAATGGCCCCCACTTGGAATTCGTAACAGGTCAACAGTTGATACCGGTTAACCCGGTTAACACTTAGCCATCTCCTGAGCAGTGCTGTCAAGCGGTCACCATGGCCTCAACATCCAGGGTGATGGTCTTGCCAGTGAGGGTCTTGACAAAGATCTGCATGGCGAAGGGGCAATTGGAGAAGCGCACAAGTTTATGAGCCGAGAATGAGCTGCGCAAATCAGCTGAGTTGGAGCGAAGCCAAGAAGCCGTGCGCAACAAGACCTGCATGTATCAAACTCGTTCGGAGATCCCCTTTCTTATCACGGTCGTTTGAGGCAGCATCAGCTCACTGCAAATCCTACTTCTGGCTGATCTGCGGGGTCTTAATGAGGACGAGATTCAACATCCAACAGCTCGGCGCAAAGTTGCAGGCCCAAAAAGTTCAGCTTGAAATACCTGGATGGCGTGAGGAAACCAAGGTCTTGTTTGGAGATGGATTGAAGGAAACTTTGCACTTTCATCGTCAGGCACATAGGCCAAAAAATGTTGCAAGTCTTGTCCCTCGCAAATCTCGCAGTGATTTGCCTTCAATACAGTTCTCAACACTTAAACCAGTTGGTGGAGTAGAGTAGAGCCGATGGCCTTTCCCACTCGAGTTGCTTTTCAGAGCCCACAAGAGGAGTGGAATGAAATATTCTAAAGTCAAGCTGGATTGCTCATCTTCAGACCCAGCAAACTTGCCGCCGTGGTCCACAGATCCTAGGTTCTGGTCAGCTGGCAAGGGCACATGTCTAGCACCGTGTGGCTGATGTTTTCTCAAGTGCAACAAATAGCGGGTGCCCCCAATCGGTGGATTGGCTCGTTGTCTTTTTATAGAGCCTGCTGGTTTGGACCAACTGGTCATAACTAGTGAGGATCTGAAGACAAGCTGAGACAAGCTGCGCACTGTAAACAGTAAAGGCGTTCCGGGAGCACTGCGGCGAATCAAAGCCGCCTCGTCAGCATGTGACATCACTTGAAAATAGATCTTTACCTGGTACCACCTGTTTCATGCCAAATTGCCAATGCATGCCAATTCTAAGCCTCTGCTACAAATGGCTCCACCAGACCCCAAGAGATCCTCGAAGTACTATAGTTGCTGGGCTTCACAATCACAACATCACAACATCACAAAATCAAGCCAAACAAAATCAGACAAAACCTCACAGGTTGAAAGAGTTTTGGTATGTTTTCAACTGTTTTGGCTTTTGGCACCTGATGGATCACATTCTCAGGTTCCAAACTCTCCAGGAGGTCCACCCGAAACTCCAAAGTGTCTGCATTGGAGGCCGCCGAACGAAGGATCTCCGGCGATACTTGGGCGTAGTCCGGTGCCGTCAGGGAGATGAAAAAGGAATCGCTGACGGTGCTGGGGATGGCTCTGCCCAAGGCGATGTTCACCTGAAAGGTGTGAAAGCCATGTGAAAGCCATTTGTCGTCATTTGTCTATTTTGGAGCAAACGGCAGAAGATATACTGCAAAGCAACACGTCGGAGGCACAGAACTGAGGAACGGACAAAACGCGCAAACGATGTGGTTAGTGAGGACAAGTCCTTCTCCCCCTTGGCTATGGGAAAGCGGAAGTTGGCCACCTCCTCCTCAGTCCAGTCATAGGCGACATGCATGCCCTTTGTTCTAAATTCATGTGAAAATCCATGCCATGGTGGTACACTGCAAAGTTGGTTCTTCATCAATGGGCCACTGCGGTACATTCTGGAAGGAAAACTATTCATTTCAAAACCCCCCATGGATGAATCAAGAACCCCCCTTCCACTGCATACTTCTTTCGGAAGAACAGTGCTAACAAGCGGCATACTTGGGAAGCCTGCGCTTGTAAGTGTCCTGTCGTAAGGTTATTAAAAGGGCTTGTCAATAGCCCAACGAGAGTAAAACAACAAAGTCAACCCTCATGCTGTGCAGTCCCGCGGGTGCTCACCAAGTGATGCTCTATGAACTTGTGCAGCAGGATCAGCCCTGCAGATGCGCGAAATTGAAAGCGACTAAATCGTTACTTTAAAATCAATACATACACATATATCATATGTATATATGTATATATAGTGTATATGCAGGTGCATATATATATATAACTATATATTAATTAAAAGAGATGAATATATCAGAAAGCATCACTCTTATCAGCTGCGCATCACCTGAAGGTACAGGTACAGAACAGGGCAATGATCAATGCGGGCAATGAAAGCGTTCGCTTTCCAGCACTTGGACGAGCGGCTCCAAGGTTGCAACCACATCATCAATGTGGCGATCGATGAGTATGACCTCGGTCCATCTAATCTATATACTGTAGCCTGATCCACCTTGATGTTTTCAAGCCTTTTGACGGATGACTAACATGACCAAGAAGCTGGATTGTGACATCGCATGATGTCCATGGCTGGTGCCGTTTCAATGATCCCACCACCACATGCAAGGATCTTCCCCTGCAAGGACGCCACAACAAGGGAAGTCACAACAGCAAACGGCAAAAATAGCAAAGGAAGAATCAGAACTTTGGGCTTTTGCCACGCCTTCCGGGCAGCAGCAACACTGGCGGCAGATTGGAAGCAGTCGGCCTCCAACTTGCGAAACGCATCCCAACCTGGACATGTGGGGAGCTTAGAGGGCGAATAGCAAATGTGTTTCAACATAGTTCCGAAATGCTCTGAATGCCGGGCCCGACCTTGTTCCGCGACAATCTGTGGGGGCAGCTTGCCATTGGCTGCGCGTGTTATGACCTCCAGAGTTTGTAGGTATCGCCGCGGCGTGCCGATCATGGGCACACAGTGGAAAACACAAAGTTGTGTGGCCAAAGTGGTCCAAGTCCATGCCTCATCCAAATCATCGAAGTCAAAGCCCAGAATCTCCGCAACTCCTCTGCCCAGCGTGGTCTTGCCAGCCTCTGGTCGGAGGAACGTTCCCTCCGCAAATACTCAACCTCAACCTCCACCCCCACTATGAACCCCCCGTCAACCTGAACCCCCCCGTCGAAGAGGCACGATTGAAAATGCACATCCAAGCGTCTCCACGCATCCCGATAAGGGCCACCTGAAGATGTTCGCTGCTATGTCCAGACATGTCCAGACGACATCATATCATGTCATATCATGTCATATCTATTTCTACGGATGGAGAAAGAGCTTCCCAACCACGGCTGGTTACGGGCATGGTGAGCTATGCAGCTATGCTTTCAACATCTTTCAACTTTCAACCAAGCTACAACTGGTGGGCAGGACATGGTGGCAAGCTCGACCGAGCTGCACAAGCATGTGCTTTCGAGCAAGCGAAAGCAAATATGCAAGAGATTGCAAAAGTAAGAGGACAAATTGGACAAATTGATGCAAGGTCAAGTCTATTCTGTCTTGTGCGGCCGAGATGACAAACCCGAATGCATCTCTCGAGTCACTCATGCGCTATTCTGTTGCGGGTGGCGGGGTCCTTGCTCTGCTATCTCATCACAATGCAAATTCGTGGCAAATGTATTTGATGGTGTTGGCCAAAACATGTTGCTGCCTTTCATTTGGCCCTGCTCTTTTGAGCCAAGAAGTAGCACATCATGTCAGGGACTGCTCCAAGTTCAGCATAATCATATAGAATTTATTACATCCTCCGAAACGAAATTGCAAGCCGCAAGACGGCGTTGCCATGCCAGTGCCTCACACCAAAAATGACTCGGCTGCCAACCAACTCGTCCAGCTCGGAAGTGGTCCGGGTTAACACGACCTGAGCTCGTCGTGAGTTTCATTGGTAGCTTGTTTGACTTTCACTCTTTTGCGTATAGCAAAGCCACAACGAGCGCAAGGCAAAATAGGCAATGGAAGGCATCCACAGCAACTAACACAGTTTTGCAAGCAAAGGAGGCATTGCTTTGATCTTCATCAACTTAAACGATTCAAGAGATTGAAAGATTCAAAGGGGCACTGGGCATCACCCCATCTACAAGCGTCGTCACAACGCGCCAAGAGCTGAGATGCCAATCAAAAGTCTATCGCAGCTGCTGTTTGCAACTGCTGACAGGGTCGGATCGGCAACTCTCAGCCCACAATGGGCCTAGCCTGTACCAAATGGATTTCTCGACCACTTCCACGTTCCAAGACAACACCTTCCATGTCCATTGCAGCTCCATAGCCTGCTCATGTGAACCACAACGACCACACCATACCACAGCTAGGCCAAGCAGCAACATATATGTAAATGTATATCACATAAACGGCATGTGTATGTAACAATATTTAACAATAACAGTATGTAACAGCAATTTGGGAGATCCAGGCATCTGCGGTTTGAGCAAGAAGCTTGTGACAAAGCCAACAACATATGTGTCAATTGTAATCAACTGTGCCTTTCTCAATGCCTATAGCAACCTTGGCCACATCACGGGCGATCTGCAAAAGATAATCCTTGTCAGTGCTCAGGCGCTCCTGGAATGCCATGAAAAATCCATCCCGAAAAATGGAAAACATGGAAAACTGAGAGGCTCAGGAGGGGCACCTCCAAAGCTAGCAGCTAAATGCATTTGAATACTATTTATAATGCTATGTTTATAATGCCATTTATGTGGCCTGGATGTGTCTGGTCTGTCCTTGGAATAATCCACACGGACATGCTGCAGGCCGCTGGGCAAATCCTCAAGGCCATTGGAGAAGCTTCCCAGCGAAGCGATCTGCACCTGTCCAGGGCGAAGCAAAAAATGATGACGACAATGACAGATTCGCTATGGATTTCTGTTGCCTGTCCAACTTCCATGAATCAAAAGCTGCGCTCGGCTCGCCTCATGAGGGGGGTCCTTTTGTACCACTAGCCGATACGGTGTGCCAGGCTCATTGGCAGAAGCTAAAGTCTCACCCAGGCCGATGCCTTGAACGGTTCAAGAATGTTGAAAATGAAAGTTTCCCAAATGCGCTCTGTTGCCACTACACATCCCATATGCATCCATATGCCACAATCCCTCCAACGTCTCCAACATGCGAATTCAAGGTGCACATCTCGATGTAGACAGCTTTGTCATTCTTCGCGACGGCATCTTTGGAGAAAGCGATGAAGGCATAGGCATGGCCACTCAACGACACCATGGGCTGGATCAAGACACCCATGGCGATGCCATCGTAGAGCGGCATCTTGGCAGCATACCGGCTCTGGACCGCTCGGAGTGTGAACATGCTTCCTCAGGACAAATGCACAACGCATCAGACGCATCACAATGCTCAACAAAAGAGCAGCAAGACCGTCGCAGCTCGCGGCGTGATGTTTAGAAATCGGGAGGCTGTTCAACTGACTTCAACTGACTTCAAACCTGTTTGGACATCGCTGTCAGCAAAATTCAGCCAGCATTGAAGCCAAGCGTCCCCACACCTGCAAGATGGCCTGTTGCAATTTGGATTGATCCTGCGCAAAATCCGAAACACAATAAGGTGAAGAGCGCATCCCCTTCAAGCTTCTCACTATTTCTTACAAGTACTTGGTCACGTATGCCAAGTGCGACCACTTGCACATACCTGAATCATGCAAACACATGGTGCATATTCTTTGTCATGCAAGAATGTGTCCGATTTGCTGAGGCAGTCATTGCAATTCTTTGTTTGCATGTGCCTTGATGTCAACACCCAGCACGGAGTCATGAAGCCCGGCGCCAGAGACCTTTTCCAAATCCTCGCTGTTTGCAGATGACCGAACCGCAACCCTCTCGGCTCCTGCAGAACAACAGGCTGTCAAGTTCAAGGCACCAGGGCTTTGGGGTTGTAGATTCACAGTTGCAGTTGCAACAAAATCGCAGGAAGCTCCTGGCAAACCTGATTGAATCTCCGACAAGATGGAGTTGGGAACCGACAGCTTATCCTGAGGCCGCCCCAGTCTGGATATGATCAGTGGACTTCAGAATAATTCAGGCATCAGCGTACATGTCTGCAAAAGGAACTCCAAAATTTAAATCTGGAGTCGATCGCGGCCCTCACTGCTTGTGCAGCGGCTTCTACATCAGCATTTTTTGAGAGAGCAGCTTCCAGGCCCTTCAGGGCGGACTGAAAGTCAGAACCTGGCAGCCCCAAAATTTGGCACAGGGAGCAGGGGGGCACAGGGTGACCATGGTACAACGATGATCCCAAGGTGCCTTGGATGGCACTCTTCATGACACCAAAAGGGATCGCAAGCCCCTTGGGCGCCTGAGACATCACAACAGAACTCCAAACATTCTGCGAAAAGCTGAAGCTCTGCCTGCCTAAGCAAAACTCTTTTAGGTCCAGCATCTTGGTCTTACGTGGTCTTACTGGAAGCATCCAGGAAGTTCAACTCTGAGCTGAGTTTCCTGCCTTGAAGCCCAGCTGCTGAGCCAATTTCTCCAGTTTCCCAGATGAAGCAGCTTTGCTCCCTGCGATCTGAGGCTGATCTGCAATGGAAACCTCGCAGCAAGGGCTCTGGATGAACTGATTAAATGATTAACTGATTCACTGGTAACCCTAAAATCTGTGACCCCGGTGGTCCAATCTTCCCAGGATGTCCAAGGCACAGTTTCCAAGACCTTTTTGCCAGTGAGATTCAGCTCTCCCAATTTTGATTTGGCGGAGCTCTGGCTAGACTGACCCGAGGTCACCTTTAGCTCTGAGTCGGCCACCACCTGCATGACACAAGAAGAAATCTTAGGTCTGTCTCTGTCGCTTCCTGTGGGGTTCTTTCATGAATGTTTTCCATCCGTCAGAAAAAAAAATGACAACTAGACGACGGATGGCCCGAGAGCGTAGAGAAGCACAGTGAGAGGTGTAAGTATCAAGATCTTATAGCATGAAACATAAATATAGAAATACGATGATAAATCATAAATATAGAAATATACGAATATATTTAATAAGCCCAAAGAGTATCCCCAACAGCCAGAAACAAAAACAGTTGTTAGACACGCAATGAGTGAAGTAGGTTTATTGCCCCGCCCTTCTTACTCTAGAGGTCGGGCGTACAAGGCGCAATCACAGCACAAACACTTTATGAAAAACCGTTTTTCCAAAAGCGTTCGCAATACTGTGGCCAAAATTCCCGAAGCTCGTGCGCATGGGTTTTTCCCAAAGAACTGCTGTCCGCCTCACTCTTCACTTCATCTACCTAACATGCATAATCCACATCTCTTATGTCCTTTGCATCACCTACATCTTCTATACCATCTTCTACACCATCTTCTCTAGATCTACATCTACATCTACACCATCATCATCACTATCGCCATCATCATCATCATCATCATCGTCATCATCATCATCATCATCACCTACATCTGTCTCACCTACATTACCTGGACCACCTACACATTTTTCCATCAACCTCATCTATATGACATGCTTTATCTACAATAGATACATTACCTACATCATCATCTACATCACTGCATCCTCTACATCACCCACATCACCTACATCTTCTGCACCATCTTCCCTACATCATCATGATTATCATCACCATCACCACCACCATCATCATCATCATCACCATCATCTATCTCACCTACGCCATCTACATCACCTACACAATCTTTTTCCATAAACCTCATCTACATGACATACATCACCTACAACGCATACATGACCTACATCATCATCTATATCACTGCATCCTCTACATCACCTACATCTTCAAATCTATCTAACCTTACATCACTTACAGCATCATCCTCATCATCATCTACAACATAGACAACATCACCTACATCAGCTACAGGTGATCAACTTCTAGCGAACTCCTACAAAACTTGAACAATGTCATTTACACAGGAGTTGACTTGCAGGTGATCCACTTCTACTTGAACTCCTACTGGTCCTACTACTCCTGCCGGCAAGGTCATTTGCACAGAAATTGTTACATAGGAGTTGCTACACAGGGGTTCGGCCAACTTCCAGGTGATCAAATTGTATGTGGACTCCTGCAAAATCAGACTTCTCCAGTTCTTCTATTTCTCTCTGGCGGCAGGGACAGCCAGGCGGTGGCTTTCGAAACTTTACCCTCTGCGGCGTGTCGGACACCCAAACGTGTGGCGAAATGCGGGTCTTGTTTGTCCTTGGGCAACCCTCTGCGGAGATGGCGCGTGCCGGATGGGCAAATATGTGGCGTGGTGAAATGCGAAACTTCTTTTCCCGCAGCAACCATCTGCGGAGATCGTGCGTTTCGAACGCCGAAACATGTGGCAAAATGCAAATTTGGTGAGGCCCGGCGCAGCCCCTTCGCACGAAATGAGGGTCAACAGTCAAAAACTTGTGTAAAATCGTGATTTTGAAAGTTCAGATGCATGCGTGGCATGAAAGTCAAACGGCAATAACTGTGGGAAAACGGCGATTTTTTAACGTCAGATTCCAACGTTCAAGAATTGGTGTAAAATTGCGACTTTATCCATTTTGAAACGTCAGGCACAACCGTTTCGCGCGAAATAAAACTTGTGCAAAATTGCAATTTTACAAGGGCGTGGCGTATAAGATTGTAAAAGCTGCTCTGTGCAAAGGCCTCTCTCTGTGTAAAGGCTTAGGTGTGTAAAACCTGCTCTGTGTAAACCCTGCTCTGCGAACAAGCTTCTATGCGTAAAAGCGTCTGTGTGTAAAAGCTGTGTGTGCAAAGGCGTGTGTGTAAAGCTTGTGTGTGCAAATGCTTCTGTGTATAAAAGATGCTCTTTTTAGACGCTTCTCTGTGTAAAGCTTCTCTGTGTAAAGCTTCCGTGTAAAACCTCTGTGCTTAAAAGCTTCTGTGTGTAAAGGCCTCTATGTGTAAAAGCGTTTGTGTAGAAAAGCTTCTTTGTGTAAAGGCGTCTGTGCGTAAAAGCCGCACTGTGTAAAAGTTGCTCTGTGCAACGGCTTCTCTGTGTAAAAGCGTCTGTGTGTCAAAGCTGCTCTGTGTACAGGCATCTGTGTGCGTGTGTGCGAAGGCGTCCTTCTGTGTGTACAAGCTTCTCTGTGTAAAGGCCTCTCTGCGTCAAAGCTTCGGTGTGTAAAAGCTGCTCCGCGCAAACGCTGCTCTGTGAAAACAAACCTGAGTGTAAAAGCTGGTCCGCGCAAAGGCTTCTCTGTGTGAAAGCTGATGTATCTAAAAACCGTTTGTGCTCAAAGTTCCTTCCCACAAACACTTGTCTGTGAAAATGCTTCTCTGTGCAAAAGCTTCTCTGTGTAAAAGCTTCTGTGTCTGTAAAAGCTGCTCTGTTTAAAAGGCTTCTCTGAGTAAAAACTTCTGTGTAAAAGCTTCTGTTTGTAAAGGCATCTCTGTGTAAAAGCTTTCTTGTGAAAAGGCTGTAAAAGTTTCTGTGTCTAAAAGCTTCTGTTTGTAAGGAGTGTGTGTGTGGGGGGGAACCTTTTGGGAACCTCTTAGAAACCTTGCTTGGGAACGTGTTCCTGGGAACCTTGCTTGGGAACCTGTTCTTGGGAACCTGGGGCATTTTCTTGGAAAAGGAAACCCCTTCCTGGGAACCTGGTTCCCAACCTTGCGCGGTGCGGATTTGGCTGCTCCGACCTGCTCCGGGACCTTTACTATGGCAAAAGACCACAAGCTTACGCTTTTGGGGAAAAACAATACAACAAACAAATCTATGCATTTGAGTCGCAAAGTCCTGGCAAACGGCGTGTCGGACAACAGTCACAAAATACGCGAAACAATAAATAATGCCAAAAAAACAATTTGTTACACATGGTGACGCATTGTTCATGCAATTTCAGCTCAGGTGTCTTGATTGAAAACCTCGGGAACCTTTACAATGTATCCTGTATCCTTGGGAAACTTGAGACATTTTACTTGGCAACCTTGGAAAGCTTGAGGAAACCTTCACAATGTAACTTTGGAAACCTTGAGAACCTTTACCATGTAACCTTGGGAACCTTGAGAACCTTTACTTGGAAACCTTGGGAACCTTGAGGCGACGTTGAGGCAACATTTACAATGCAACCTTGGGAACCTTCAGAACGTGTACTTGGGAACCTTGAAAACCTTGAGGGACAAATTACAATCTAACCTTGGGAACCTTGAGGGAACCTTGACAATCTAACCTGGGGAAACTTGTAGAATAGAAACCCTTACAATGTCACCTTGGAAACCTGGACAACCTTTACTTGGGAACCTTTACATAATAACCTTGGGAACCTTGAGGAACCTTTACAATGCAACCTTGGGAACCTCGACAACCGTTAGAATGTAACTCTGGGAACCTTGAGGAAACCTTTCCAATTTCACCTTGATAAATTTATAGAAACCTTTACAATGTCACCTTGGGAACCTTGAGAACCTTTACTTGGAAACCTTAGGAACCTTGAGGGAACCTTGAGGGAACCTTTACAATCTAACCTTGGGAACCTTGAGGGAGCCTTTACAATCTAACCTTGGGAACCTTGAGGGAACCTTGACAATCTAACCTTGGGAAACTTATAGAAAACCTTACAATGCCACCTTGGAAACCTGCACAACATTTACTTGGGAACCTTTACATAATAACCTTGGGAACCTTGAGCGAACCTTTACAATACAACCTTGGGAACCTTGACAACCTTTACTTGGAAACCTTGGGAACCTTGAGGCTACCTTGAGGCAACATTTACAATGCAACCTTTGGAACCTTGAGAACCTTTACTTGGAAACCTTGCAAACCTTGAGGGAACCTTGACAATCTAACCTGGGGAAACTTGTAGAATAGAAACCCTTACAATGTCACCTTGGAAACCTGGACAATGTTTACTTGGGAACCTTTACATAATAACCTTGGGAACCTTGAGGGAACCTTTACAATGCAACCTTGGGAACCTTGACAACCTTTAGAATGTAACTCTGGGAACCTTGAGGGAACCTTTACAATTTCACCTTGAAAAAAACTACAGAAACCTTTACAATATCACCTTGGGAACCTTGAGAACCTTTACTTGGAAACCTTAGGAACCTTGAGGGAACCTTGAGGGAACCTTTACAATCTAACCCTGGGAACCTTGAGGGAACCTTTACAATCTAACCTTGGGAACCTTGAGGGAAGCTTTACAATCTAAGCTTGGGAATCTTATAGAAACCTTTACATTGTCCCAAGGTTCCCAAGGTTACCAAATTTCCCGAAGTTTCCAAGGTTCCCAAGGGTTCCAAGGTTCCCAAGGTTCCCAACGTTCCCAAAGGTTTTCAAGGTTCCCAAGGGTTCCAAGGTTCCCAGGGTTCCCAAGCGTTCCCAAGGGTTACCTTGGGAACGTGACCAACGTTTACTTGGGAACCTTTACATAATAACCTGGGGAACCTTGACAGCCTTTATAGTGTAACCTTGGGAACCTTGAGGAAACCTTGACGAAACCTTGAGAACCTTCAGGGAACCTCGGGAACCTTGGGAACCTTGGGAGCCTCGGGAGCCTTGGGAACCTTGGGAACCTTGGGTACCTTGGGAACCTTGCAAACCTTGCAAATTGGGAACCTTGGGAACCTTCGGAACCTTGGGAACCTTGGGGGAATGGGTTTTGGAGCTGCTCCGGTCTGCTCCGAAACCTTTACTATGGCTGAAGACCCCAAAGCTTCTGCTGTTGGGGAAAAATGAAGAAACATGGTGCAAACATTAAAGAAAGGAAGAAGAAATTGAAGGAGGAAGCAAAGGAAGAAAACGAAGAAGACACAGGAAGCTTACACACAGAAGTTTTTACACACAGAACCCTTTGCACACAGACATTTTTACACACAAAAGTTGTTACAAAGAGACCCTTTTACATACTGACTCTCTTACACACAGACACTTTTACACACAGACGTTTTTACACACAGAAGATTTTACACACAGAACCCTTTACACACAGACGCTTTTACACACAGACGCGTTTACACACAAACGCTTTTAGACACAGGCGCTTTTACACACAGAAGTTTTTACACACAAAAGTTTTTACACACAGACACTTTTACACACACAGACACTTTTACACACAGACGCCTTTACACAGAGAAGCTTTTACACACAGACACACAGGCGCTTTTACATACAGACGCTTTTACACACAGAAGCCGTAGTTTTTACACACAGACGCTTTTACACACAGAAGCTTTTACACACAGACACACAGGCGCTTTTACATACAGACGCTTTTACACACAGAAGCTGTAGTTTTTACACACAGACGCTTTTACACACAGAAGCCTTTACACACAAGCACTTGTACACGTTCACACACAGACGCTCATACATACAGACGCTTTTGCACACAGATGCTTCACACACAGAAGCTCTTACACACAGACGCTTTTACACACAGACGCTTTTACACACAGAAGCTTTTACACACAGATGCTTTTACACACAAACTCTTTTACACAAAGAAGCTTTTACACACAGAAGCTTTTACACAAAGACGCTTTTACACACAGAACCCTTTACGCACAGACACTTTTACACACAGACCCTTTAACAGGACCAACCAAATTCGCAAAAAAACCCTCAGTTTTTCACACTCGAACTTCTTTTCGTGCGAAAGCGTTACCGCGGACACTTTAAAATCGCAGTTTTACTCCAGTTTTTGACACTCGAACCTCATTTCGTGCGAAAGGGTTGCCGCCGGACCAACCAAAATCGCAATCTTATTCCAGTCTCTTTGCCACTCGAACCTCATTTCGTGCAAAAGGGTTGCCGACGAACCAACCAAAATCGCAATTTTACGTCAGTTTTTGACGATCGAACTTCATTTTGTGTGAAAGGGTTGCCGCGGAAGCGCCCAAATCGCAATTTTACTCCAGTTTTTGACACCCGAACCTCATTTCGTGCGAAATGGTTGCCACCGGACCAACCAAAATCGCAATTTTACGTCAGTTTTTGGCGATCGAACTTCATTTCGTGCGAAAGAGTGGCCGCGAAAGCGCCCAAATCGCAACTTTACGCCACTTCTTGACGATCGAACCTCATTTTGTGCGAAAGGGTTGGCGCGTCGAACCTCATTTTGTGCGAAAGGGTTGGCACGTCGAACCTCATTTCGTGCGAAAGGGTGGCCATTTCGTGGCGCCTCATCGGCACCGCCTTAAGAGAAAACGAAAAAAGAAGGAGAGAGACCGTGACAGAGGGCAAGGGAGAGAGAGAGGGAGAGGGAGAGAGCGAGAGAGAGAGAGAGAGGGAGAGAGAGAGAGGGAGAGAGAGAGAGGGAGAGAGAGAAGATGTGAAGATGTGAAGATGTGTAGATGTGAAAATGCGAAGATGCGAAGATGATATGTTATGTGAGGAAAAAATGTGAAGATGCATAACAGACCCACCACTATTAACTATTAGAAGAACCCTTCGCTCAGACGCTCTCGGGAACAAAACTCCAACAAATTGGAGGAGTTTTGAACGTTTTGAGCACCTGTGCCCTTACATCTCCGGATGCATCCACCACCAACTTCACGGCTTTCGTCTCTTGGACGTTTTTGCGGAGCTTTTCAAAGAGCTGGGACTCAGCGGTGCAGGCGAAGACCACACCCAGCTGCCGCGCGCGCAACGCCAAGTGCGACAGCACCGGCAGATCACGCGACACCACGACGCCACGGACGAGCTGTGGGACCTCTTCGTCGCCACTGGCTTCGTTGCAGAAAATCACGGCGCCCTCGGGAGGCAGAGTCCTGCAGCTTCCTACAATGTCTTAACAGTATATAACACAAAGGGTACAAAATATGTATGAAATAAATGAATGAATGAAAAAAATAAATAAATAAAAAACATTTATCAATAGATAGATAGATAGATAGATAGATGGAGAGATGGATGGATAGATAGATTGATAGATAGATACATAGATAGATAGATTCGATAGATGGATAGATAGATGGATAGATAGATAGATAGATGGATAGATAGATGGATAGATGGATAGATAGATGGATAGATAGATAGATGGATAGAAGGATAGATGGATAGATGGATAGATAGATAGATAGATAGATTCGATAGATTCGATTCAATAGATTAGATTCGATAGATTAGATTCGATAGATTGGATTAGATAGATTAGATTAGATAGATTACATTAGATTAGATTAGATTCGATTAGATTCGATTAGATTAGATTCGATAGGTAGATAGGTAGATAGGTAGAGAGGTAGATAGGTAGATAGGTAGATAGGTAGATAGGTAGATAGGTAGATAGATAGATCGATAGATGGATAGTTAGCTAGATAGCTATAGCTAGATAGCTAGATAGCTAGATAGCTAGATGGCTAGATGGCTAGATGGCTAGATGGCTAGATGGCTAGATGGCTAGATGGCTAGATGGCTAGATAGCTAGATAGGTAGATAGATAGCTAGATAGCTAGATAGCTAGGTAGATAGATAGGTAGATAGGTAGATAGGTAGATAGGTAGATAGGTAGGTAAGTAGATAGATAGATAGCTAGATAGCTAGATAGATAGGTTGACAGATTGATAGACAGATGGACAGATGGACAGATGGACAGGTGGATAGATGTATAGATAGATTAGCTAAGATTAGATAAGATTAGATAAGATTAGTTAAGATGAGTTAAGATTAGATTAGTTAAGATTAGATCAGATTAGATCAGATTAGGTAAGATTAGATCAGATTAGGTAAGATTAGCTAAGATTAGAAAAGATTAGATAAGATTAGATAAGATTAGCTAAGATTAGCTAAGGTTAGATAAGATTAGATAAGATTAGATAAGATCAGATAGATAGATAGATAGATTCTAGATAGATATGCATATAGCATGATACAGAAATCAGGATGGGAGTAGCACCATGCCCTTAAAAGGTTCTTTCAGACAATGAATCAAATGATTGCTGACTCTCACGCCACTGCCTAAAGTCACATGGTCCTTTGCCACGAATCTGCCAGCGTTGGCAAGAACATGCAGCGCCCCACGCCAGAGCCGGCTGAGATTGCGGTCCACAACGGTAGCCTCACGATTGATTAGACCGCATTCCCTGTCACCCACTTGGTAACCATCCTGCACCATTCGCATGAATGGTAGCCTTTGAGTAGCCCTGAGTAGCCCCGTGTTTGTTTTTGAGAAAGCTTTTGGTGGCGTACCGAACCTCGGTAGCCCCAAAAAGAAACGTCAGTTACCGCCAGTTTGAAGCCATTTCAGCCCAGCATCCCAGCTGAAACTTTCGCTTGCTGCATTCCCAACTGAGCCAATTTGGAGACCTGGAAGAGCACCGATGCCCGAAGCCTTAGGAGATGGGCCCTGAAAGATCCCGAACCTTGCCCTGAGGCACTTGCGGTCTTCAACCAGGCTTCAACATTACAGTCGCACTTGAACCAGACGACCATGCTACCAAGCAACTCAGCTTCAACAAAGACAGACACTGCATGAGAATCAATCCGCAAGGCCTGCAAAGGAGTGCTGCCGCAATCCCATGTGTGGCACATTAATCGAACATGATCGAAGTAATTACTAAACGTGTGCAAAACATGTGCTGCATCAAAACGCCTTCCCCAATTGTGGCACCCCAGCATAGGCCGCTTCCAGGGCTGTGGTGAGCCGAAAGCAGATTCTTAAAGTTCGGTCCATGGTCGCCACCAGCCGCTGAGGCACAAAGGGCGCTTTTCGGGCATCAGCGATCTCCGGGGCAATGGCTTCTGCTTCACGCATCACCACCTCCTTGGGGACAGGGCCATACAGTTCAGCAGATATCACTGGCATATGTGGTCCTAGTTGATGTGTCCACCCAGTGCAACCCACAGCACCCACAAAATCCAGTCTTGGAAAATGGCCGAGCATCGCATTCATCCTTGGCAATACCCGAGAGCTGTATTTGCGCCACTGCCGCCACGAAGCTCTTCAGCAGCCGATCCCACCAGGAGCCCGAAGCATTGCGGCCTTCATTCTCCAACTGCCCTGCCACCTGACCTCAAATGGTAACGGGAGCTGGACTGGCAAATCCAAAGTATGATTGCAATTATGTTAATGAACATCTTCATCGTGCTTGAGCATTCAACCACTATTCAATGTGTCACCAAGACATCCAGATGTGCAAAATACATAAGCCACGGATCACAAGGATGTCCAAAATTGTGAATTGATGCTGTGCTAGGCTCTAACAATTCAAACGGTGAGCCGGCTATGCAGAGGCGTTGCAACCAGGGAACTCTATCAGAATGCTTCAAATCCATGTCATTAACTGTTGCAACCAGGGAACTCAGCAACACAAAGGCGTACTTCTCAAGCTCGATGTCAAGTCTCAACCTGTTTGCGATGTGTTTTCAACCCTATGCCTTGCGAGCTGCAACGATGCAAACCGCTTTTTTGGCCTAGCTCACCCCAAGAAAATGAAAATCGAAAAGCTTGGTCCAGCAAGTGCAGAGCAACCAATTCTGCTCGTCGACTACTTTAGGCACCACCAACTTCCTCAAGTCTGTTAGGGCCGTCATCTGCCCGAAGGGGTCAGCTGCAGAATTCTTGAGGTGCAGCAGCATATCAACAGCTCCCTTGATGGAAGCATCTTGTGCTGCTATTTGTCGAGCAGTGTCATCCAAGCCTGCATCACACTGTCAGTATACCCAAAGTTTGCATGAAAAATCATCAAACACAAGAGCGATATCTGTCGTTTCCTTCCAACCGTGGGATCCCTTCGGCATCTCACAACTCAGCCCTCCACCGGTGGCGTTGAAGAAATCGCGCAACTCCACCTGGGTGCAGCAGGGTCGTCTCTTCAAAGTCCCTTGGTGGTGACATGACAGAATCACTGCAGACCACATGACATCATCCCTCAACGTCGAAATTTCTACAAGTATGTGTTAATTATGGCATATGCATATGTATTATGTATATGTGTGTGTTATGTGTATATATATATATATATATACATGATTTGTGTGTGTGTGTTTGCGTGTGTGTGTGTGCGTGTCGACGGACGGAGTCATGTCATATGGCATATATATATATATAGCATGTCAAATGATATCCATCCATCCGTCCATCCGTCCATCCATCCATCGTCATGGCCAATGATGTTGTCGATTTGTACACACACCCACTCACAGATATACATAGATATATATATATACATATAATGATGGATGCCTTAAGGGCATGCCCCTGCCAACATACTTCAAAATAATAAAATCATATAAAATCTTATTCTGGCAATACTTGACTTCAAAAAAAGAAATTATTCCAAGAACTCAATGATATATATATATGGGATTTTGGAATAATATTTGACAAAATGATGCCCCTATAGTTTTTTCCTAGCAAAACGTAAGCAATCGTAAGCAGCTGTGGGCAAACGGCCGAAAAAGGTTTCCGTCCTTGCAGAGTTGGGGTACAACTTTAAACATTAATCAGATAGGATCAAGAAGAGCCAGCATATATCTTCAAAATTTTGCCTTCTCAGCAACCCACTAGTTGAACATGGTTTTCATTGGTTTTGGATGTTTTTCCCGTTTCTGGGTTGGTTTGGTGGTTGTGGCCCTAGTGGGAATGAGTGGGAAAGGGGGAAATGTTTGGTTCTCATTGCTTGTTGACAATTCTGGTGATTGCCCACTTTGGCCGTGGAAGGCATCTCGACCAATACCCCTAGAATAATTTCTCCTGGGGAAAGCCCACAAGATGGCACTCAACCTGGCCCTCTCCTAGACATTTTCCTAACCTTGTGTGCTTCCCCCTATTTCTTCCATATTCCCTTCATTGCCATCCAAAACTCTCGAGAAAGTACCGTGAGAGAAAGGTGGTCTGTTGGACACTAGTTGTGCTTGCAAGTACGCTTCAAAAAAAAGGTTGGCAGCGATTGCCCAAACTGCATGATACCTCAAACAACTGCAATTTGCATTTCCTGCAAAAGGCTTTCAGGCAAACACCGCCAAGCTAGGAATGGCTTTTGGAAGGGCCAGGCCAGGTATAGGAACGTTTAGGCTGTTTCGAGATGTTTTAAGATGTTTTAAGTTACAGAAAATTATTCCAACACCTTATTATTCCGGGGTATGTTGACGGGGGGGGATCATGATTTCAAAATTCCAACATGCACAATCGTATACCTACCCCTTGAGGAAATATGAGGAAATTATTCCAGGAAAATTATTCCAAAAGAAGTATTCCATAACCTAGTTGATACCCTGGGATGTTTTTTAAGGGATGGGTCATTATATGTGTTATGTGTGTGTGTGTGCGCATTAATATGTGCATATATATATACACACATACATAAACATATTTTGTGTGTGTGAGTGTGTGTATGTGTGAGTGTGTCTATGTGTGAGTGTATTAACATCCGATTTTTTTCGTCTCCACAGGATACGATATACGATACGATCGGCGCCTGGAAGAGTTTCAGCTCCCGGACGAAGGCCTGGGAGTAGCCGCCTTCGCGGTCGATCCGCTCCACCAGTTGGTCCAGTTTGATCAGATCGCCAGGGTCAGCGCAGCGGTGCAGCTTGTTCTGGAGATTGTGCTTGATGTACCTCATGAACTCATATGAACTCATATGAACTCAGCATTTGCAAACATTTGCCATGGGGACTATGTAAAATATGTACAAGGTATGTTGGTGATGTTGATGTATTTTGACATGTTGGTTGATTGACCACAGCCATAGGACCTGATGACCCACATATCAACACTTTATTGCATGCAACCGACCCAAACCGACCGATGCCAACTTCCAACGGGTAACTTCTTATAAGTCCGTGATGACATTACACAAAGTTGTGTCCTTCATAAGCTTCTATAAAAATATTGAAGAAGAAACAGAATCTACGGCATCTGTCAGAGTCTCTGTCAGATACAGCAAAGGCACTGCTTCATGTCATGCGGGATATCACCACGATGTGCGATGTCGCGAATTCGTGTCATCGGCACTGCGCAGGTGAACTCGTCCGAGAAGGACGGCAGCGACGGGAAGATCCGTCGGGCAATGAAGAGCTCGGCATCACCTCTCGAGGCTCGACGAGTCGAGGGTCGACGAGTCGAGGGTCGATGGTCGCAGCACCGCGATGGACGCATGTAGATCCATGGGGTTCATATCTTTTTATGATTGTTTGTTTATTCTATGTTATTCTATAAGATTCTACATTTCTATGATTCGCATGATTTGTATGAAGTGATTCGCCTTGTTTGGTGCATCGGATGAATAGCAAAACCAGAAGCAATACTGCATGTCACTATTGTTCGCCACCATGAGCTGACCATGCTTCAAAACAGGACCATCTTTGTAATCAAATATCAAGCGGCCGATACAAGTCAACCAACAAAGCTGTACTGTAGTGCCTGCATGGGAGATCTCCCACAGAGCTTCTGTTACTGCTTTTGCAGCGTTCGCAGCTGCACAGGGCCGGTGATGACTGCCGTCTTCCTTGCAGCTGATCTGCCCACTGGCAACGAAGGTAAGATATGCCTGCGCCAACACGCACAGGGTATGACTGTGGTATAACAAATGAAGCAGCTCTGTTATGCACTAGACGATCCTAAAAAGTTGCTGCAAAGAGTGGGTGAATCAATTAAAAAAACAATTAAGATATGTTTTTTAAAGATCCATTGAGGGCTAAAATGCACCACTAAAGGATTTGCTGAAGTTTCCTGCCATTTCCTGCCCGCCTGAAGGATGGCCAGCTCGGACAAGGAGTTCAAAAGGTCCTCTTCCAAAAGGATTCTTGGCAGTTCCAACCTTTGCGGCATGCCATGGCAGCACGTGACACCAGAGCTGGAACTACATAACCGTCATAACCTGATACCTTCTGAGGTATGTTGCTTCGCTTGTTCATGTGTATAATCTGAATTTGCAAATGGTAGAGGTGTCCTGAAGCTTAAAACTGGACATTTTCCATGACCAGAAACTTCAAGCGATAGCTCACACGCTCCTCGTTCTCATCAGCAATGCGGTTAATGAAGTCATTCGCAGTGCAGGGTTCGAAGCTCAACTTCTTTTTGACTGAAGGCTTCTTAGGCTTTTCATTCCTGGGATGTTGATAAATCTTCCAGGTTTCGTTTGGTCAGGAAATCTCTCTCTTTCTTTCTCTCTCTCTCTCTCCCTCTATATATATATATATATTATTTATGTATTTATATTCTTCTTTATATATATATATGTTCATTTATTTATTTATTTATTTATATATTCATTTATTTATTTATTCATTTAGTTAGTTATATTTATATTTATTTATATGTGTAAATAGATATTTTTTGTCTATTTAAATGTATTAATATATATATATACATATTTATTCATTTATTTATGTATTTATTCATTTATTCATTTATTCATTTATTCATGTATTCATGTATTCATGTATTTATTGTTCAACTGGCAACGGACCCGATCTCTCAACCTGAATGACCGCCTGGTCAATGATGTAGAAATGGATAAGGACCCCTGATCCTGTGAACTTGTTACACTTCTCTATTTGTGGCCTCCTGACCAAATCACACCACCATCAGCGCGGCCACGCGCTACCCTTTTTGGACCCTGCCTTGACCCCCTGGTCAGTTGAGCCTAGAATGATACGTCGATCACTCCAGTGGTTGCATATGTGGATCTTCATGACTCCCGGCAGCTGGAAAAACACACTCGTAAAAAATATCAACTAAGTAAATAACTGTATGACTTGTAACAACAAGTCATCTCCCTCCAAACATGCACAATACCATCGCCACCACCATATGCGTCTGAAGTCTCCCAAGCATGCTTCGAGATACGTCAAAACCACGATGCAAAAAGGTATTGATGGCCATTTCCCCATGGTCATATAGGTCCAGTGTATGATTTAATTTCTTTCTTTTTGGTGTTGTTCCACCCACGCTTTCTGAGTTCGTTTATCTGCTCTTGCCTTCAAAATTTCATCAACGTCATGGATGATGCATCGGCCATGCTTGAGAAAGAGTCGTAGATTGGTACAATCCATATGCTTGGTGAGGCTATCTGCAAGTTGTGCGGCGGAATGAACCCATTTAACAACAATTCCCTCCTGCAGTCTTTCTTTGATGATAAGGGCCTCCAGAGTTACTCGATGTTCTTGGCATTGTGGGATATTCGTCTTCTGAATCAAGTCGTCAAGGCTCTTACAATCCACAACCGCAAAAGCTTCCGGAGTTGTTGCTAAATATTTCTCGGGGTCTTTCCAACCATCGCTCGGGTTTAGGAGCCATGCCCAGTGAATCCGCATCCACGACAGCAAGTCTACTGACCCACTGAGAGCATATGTCTCAGAAGCCAGTGTGCTTCCAACAACCCTGGCAATCTTGCGAGAGTACCAGATCAAAGGACTGACCTCGCTGGACTTCCATTCTCCTATCTGTTTGGATGCCGCTAGGATCAGGCATCCTTTCTGAGATTGTGCATTTGCTCGGTTTGCAAATGAGGCATCTGAAAACGATACGAACCGCAGGTCTTGCAAAGGTATACTTTTGATAGTAATTTTGGTATCTTTGTGGATTTTGGCTTCATGAAGTAGCTTGTTGGCATCACCCAAATCTCTGATGGTAGCACAGTTAATCTTTGCTTGGAGTAAACTGAGTTTGGCTGAAAGATCTGGTCTGGTGTTGGTTGCTGCATACTGAATGCTGCCGATAAGGCCTCGCAGGGCCTGCTTTTCTTCACTTGTGACTGGTAATTCTGGAGATTGACGTCGCGCTCGTTCAATGTCAATTGCTGGAATGTCTTCTATGTATTGAGTTTGATCAAGTTCTATTGAACCATCCCATTTTTGAGAAATATGGATCCCTGTAAAAATGAAGTCACTCTCCTTCTTACTGCCGAAAGGATATCGATGTTCCAACTGGGCAATTGCTTGTTCAAAAATTGCATCTCCGGCTCCCAGTCCATCATCAACGTGAACTCCAACAAGTCCGTGGATCCCTTTTCCGTCTTGTCGAGGTAGAACAAATGTACATGGATCAAGTGGTGACATTCGAAAATTAAGATTGAGAAGCGCTGATTTGAGTTCTTCATACCATAGCAGTGGCGCATTGACTAAACCATATGCACTTTTGAGTAATTCACAACATTCCCACGGCTTCAAGTTCATCAAGCTTCGCATTTCCTGTGGTGGTTCCATCCCTAAGATCCTACCGTCTTGACGACTGCCTCTCAAAAAGGCTGTCTGGATGTCAAATGAACGGATTTTCCACTTGGCTGATGCGGCGAACTGCAAAATGAGAGTGCGTGAGTCTTTACCCATGGTTGGTGAATCCCTGGCTAATGATTCCAACTGAGGATCCTCATACCCTAGGATTACCAGCCGTGCCTTTGGCTTAGACGGAGGTGATGGGTCTTGCTCAGTGGGTTCCACGGGTTTCCAAGTGAGTACCCATCTTGACCTGAGAATCTGATCCTCGGGGATCTGATTGCGGGCAATGCGCCGCACTGTTTCCGTCGTCAACCATGATTGAATTTCCTTCATTTTGGCCCCTTGAAACAATTTCAGTTCTTCTTTCGTGAGATTCTTTTCTTTGACTTCGGATCTTTGTTTCTTGGCTGCTGAGGCAAGGAATGCTACTTGTTCTTGAAAATTTTGTTTCATGCAATGAGTGATCTCATCCACATTCAACGCAACTTCGACTTCCTGCCCTCTTATGGAAACATCGGCACAAACATGAGCAACTTGATGGTTGAGTGCTTGAGTTACATATTGTGGTTGAATGGTAAATGTAGTGGTACCTATCCAACGAGATGGCATACTCTGGTGTGCTTGGATGTTACTTCTCCATTGATCTTTACATATCCATGAACTGCCTTCTACACTTCGGATTTGAGTTTCTCGGTCTCCGGTGAGCCACTTGGTTGGAATCGGGCAAGTTTCAACATTGGTGGGACAAAACAACCGATACCGTGGAACATGGTGCCTTCTGATCAACAACTGCTTTTCAATCACCCATTCATCGCTATCAATGAAACTGGTGTTACTGAGTTCTTCATCAGTCTCAGGAACAGGGATTTCCCATGGTTGCAGTTCACCCCTCTCGTCGGTTGACGCAGGATTGCTTTCGCCTGTGATGGCCTCTGGTTCGGAGTCTGGCTGCAAGTTCTCTGATGACCCATTCCCAGTTGAATTGTCTGGATTCTCACCAATGTGATTGGCTGGTCGGTTGGCTATGGGTATCTCCATGGTGTTCTCAGTAATGGTAGGGTTATGGGACCGTACGTTATCTTGATTTTGAAAGTTATTGTAGGTATGGTTATCATGTGGGCGTGCACTGTGGGTGATGTCATGGTATTGGAAGACCCCTGTTCCAAGGCGTGTCTGGTTTGGGAAAGGTGACTGTCCATGTTGACTATCCATCGGCAAGGCTTCTGCTTCTCGGCTGGACAGCTCCCGTAAGTGTTCCGGGGCACAGCGGTATAGCCTACTTAAGTGAGTCAACCATACTACATTGGGATCTTCCCTCATGAGTATCTTGGCTGGACCATGCCATGACCCGGGAAGGGCCCCCTTTCCTTCTCGCCAGAACATCACCCATTGGCCCGCCTGTACATTGCATCGCTCTGGTCTGGCTCGGCGGAGCAGAGAACGTCTCAGCTTCAAATCATGATCAGATCGGATGAAGGCTATTCTTGCTCTTTCTCGTTGTTGAAGGTTCTTATGAAACTGTGAAATTTCATGGTTTCCACCTACTTCCTCTGGCATGAAATCAGCTGGACTCTCCTCATCATTAGAAACACTCGCAGGCCAATGCCGGGATTTCCCAAGTACCAAAATCTCAGGACTGTAGCCCTTACACCGAGACAGGCTATTCTTGGCGGAGGTGCAGTGGCAAAGGACCTTTTCCAGTTCTTCTCGGCAAGTGATTGGTTGTTCCATCTGATATTTGTTGAGCATATCTTGAAGAATGGCTCCGTGTCTCTCACATTTACCAAGTTGCCAATGAGCTTCCGCAGGTATTATGATGGCCTGTATGTCATGACTTTGGAGAAAACGGGAAAATTCCTCGCTGCAAAACTCCCCAGCACTGTCGCACATCAGCTGTCGAGGTGGACCTGCCCAGCTGAACCAGTGGGCTAGCATTTGGGATGCCACTTCTTTGGAGGATCCGCTTTCGCACAAAAAGGCTACTTGGAAATTGGTACCAGCGTCTAACATATGGTAAAACGTGAAGCTCATCCCCTCGGCTGAGGTCCATTTGACAGCATCGATGGACAGTAGATCATTAAAAGATCTTGGCGTACCCAGGTGACCAGGTCGAGCAAGCTTAGGTTTCTGGTTCTCGAAGCATGAGGGACAGTGCATGTCTTTGATTCCCTCTATGGCATCTGATTCCCATCCCTGATCACGCAGGACATTACCAAGAATCTGTGAATCTGGGTGTCCAAGATTCTGGTGCATTCGGTACAGCTGTTGTCGCTGTTCGGCTGTCAACTTCAGGAACTTAGGCCCATGGTGGGCACGGCGGGAACTTTCGACCCTGTTTGGGTCTGGGTTGATCTCCAACTTTGGTGATTCGGTCGGAGACGCAGGGCTAGGCTCAAGGCTCTCTTGGAGAAGCTGTTGATTGGCAGTCCGGCAAAACCTTTTGGCGCAAGGTTCATCAGCATTTTCAGGCACTTGGTGTCGCTGTTCTATATTGACATCATCAGATTGTTCAGGACTGCTAATCAGTGGCTTCGGAGTTCCAAAGAGTGTCACTAGCAAACGGGCAGGCTGACATTTCCGAGTCAACTCCTTACGAGTTAGTGATGTCCAGTTTTCCCAAACATCGTCGTGAAAGTGACCGATTTGGTGACGATGGATTCCCAGTTCAAAACGGTGAGTTGCATTCTTTCGGGTCACCCCTTCACATGGCATACGACACCGGTCGGCACCTTTGCAAACTTCAAGGGCTTTGATTTGCATGTCTGGAAAAACCTGTTGTGCTTTCTCGAGGACATCACCTGAAAGAAAACTTCGCTTGCCTACCTTCGGTGCATGATGCAGCATGGATTGCAAAAATTCTCCATAGTTTTGTTGATTCGGGTTCTGTTGATATGTTGGTGGAGGATTCTGTTTACCATTAATCTTCTGGCGCTTGGATGCTGGAAGCTCAAAAGTTTCATGACTTTGCTGGACCAACACTGGCTCGGCCTCTGGCTTGGACACCTCACGAACTTGGCTAATGCACTGGAAACATCTGGCAATCCTGTGGGCAAAACGTCCGGTGTACAGTTCAGTGTACTGTGAGACATTGATTCTTCCTAGCTCGGCATGACGAAAGGACCCAGCGACAAAGTCATGTTCATGAGACCTATCACACTTCAGACTGTCAAGGTGATGAAACATGATTTTGGAGGTTGTTATGACCTGAGTCCCCTTCTGAATCAATTTACCCGATGCAGGATGTTTCAGGCTTCCAGCACGGCACATATCGCAGTGAGCAACGAAAGCTCTGTCCAAAATGGCTTGGAGCTCTTCCTGATACACCATCTGTGACCCTTTTGGTTGCTCTAAATGTGCATGGCTTTGTGGGCTTCGCCACAGTTGGAATTGGAACAAGGCATCGCACAGCAACAAGTGTTCTAAATCTGCGGCTCTGGCTTCATGGATTTTTCGGGCAGCTTCTGGACTTTTGGACATGTTGAAGCTAGCCCATTTACACCAGGCAGTGCATTTTGGTGACAGCCACAGATTCCTCGGCAAACACTTCAGCAAACGGTCATAGAGGGCCTTTCGACCCGTGATGGTGCTCAGGTCTCCATCTCGGCGGCAAAATCGCTCAGCCATCAGGCCCTGTGCTTTGGCTTGGCTTGTGAGTTCGCTTTCTTCACTGCAGTACACTTCCATGACATCATACAGATTACGTCTCAAGCTTTGTGGGTTCTTCAACACACCTAGGGAATCAAAATAATTCCACATTTCATTAGCGACCCAATTGTTCTCTCTAGTCACGAAGATGGCTTCCCCTGCATCTTGTTCAAACATGGGGTCAAAAACATCATATGACTCAACTTGGCTTTGCCAAACCTCGCACAGATCAGCTACTTGATGCTTGGTCATCACCGACTGGAAGTCGGCTGGCCGGGGTTCAAATGGCTCAGAATTTGCTGCAAGACATTCTCCATCTCCCCCATGCGCTCCCGCATCATGACAATCTCTTCCTCCTCCATCGTTGGTGCTCGAACTGGCTCCCATGGTTGACCCATGAGCTCCTCTTCGTCCGAGGGAGGATGCCAGGGATCGTGAGGAAGATCGGCCACAGGTGGACGACTCTGTTGTTTGGGCGCCCCCTTGGCCTTGGCACGGCTCTTGGGACCGGCCTGGGCCATCTGCCCTTCGATCTTGTTGAGGTGCAACTCGATGAACCTGAGAAATCGGATATGGCCGATCTTCTGACTGTGCTTGTACGTCTCGGCGAACCAGGCTAGATACTTGGTGTCGCTCACCATATCGCGATACAGTTTCCCCAGGTGAGCTTTGCCGAAGTCGATGGGGCTTTGGCTCAGTTCCTCCAAGGTCATGTCCATGATCTTCTCGATGCTCTCGGAGCTTGCTGTGTTGTCCATTGACAACTTGCGGAGACGGTCGGCTAGCTGATCGAATTGATCGTGAGTTGCCATGGGGCTGCTCAACGATGGAACTTGGAATGCTCTCAGGCGTTGATGGCTGTTCGAGCCCGGAGTTCTCTGGCAATTGTTCGAGGTTTTCTGCATCAGTCTTTTCACCAGCATGATTCTCGGGCAGAGAGCATGGACCATTCTCACCTGATACCTTGACCTCTGGTGTGCTGACATGTGTATGCATGGTCATGGCACTATGACACTCGGCTGAAACTTTTGGGCTTTGTTGCGGACATGTCAGAAGGTCTTGGAAATTGAGGCAATACAGCTTCCGTTCTGTCAAGACTATGGGAATTGATCGGTCCAGCTTCTTGAAATAAACGAGATTGGCACCTGTGTCAATGACGGCTCCTAATGATCGGAAAACACTATTTGCAATCAGAAAAGGAGTGTTGGACGGCACTACAACGATCTTAATCCACTGTGGACCGATTGGAAAAAAGACGGCCTTGCGACCCGTCACTGTGCTGTCATTTCCAAAACGGAAACTCACTTGGCATGGTGCTTCTCTCATTTGGGTCTTGATTGTCTTGGGTAAAGCTTGACACAATTCCTGAAACTGTCGGGCTCCGATGACAGACATGCTGGCTCCTAGATCTACGATTCCACACGACCCATGAGATGCAAAAAGTGCTTCTTCGATGAGAACTTGTCTCTCATCTTTGTTGACGCTCAGGGGGTCAGGCAGTGTCGAATGTGTCGAGTGTGTCGCCGGTGACTGGTTGTCCGGCTTCTTCAACCTGCAAATGGATCGCAATCGGGTTACCAGATCGGGTCTGATTCTTTCGATTTGTGATTTCACTACCTTGGGGAACCAACTGTGATGGACTTGTTGTGAGGGCAAACATTTTTCATGGAACAGGGATCGTGTCATGCACTTGTGTCGGACCTCATCAACCATGAAGGCTACTGCATTTTCAGGCAGTTCATTGATCACGTCGCCATCGGTAGCTTCTTGTTCACCATCATGAAAGGCCATCGAAACTCCTGCAAATGCCGACGATCCCGTCGGTGGTCCAGATGAGGTGGCGGCCTTGTTGCGCTGAGGGCATTCGGCCTTCCAATGCCCTTTTTGGTGGCAGATGCGGCATGTGCTCTCAAGGATTCTTTGAGCCAGGGGTTTACGAAACTGAGATTTGAAGCCCCCTTTGTTCTTCCCTTTTCCTTTTCCTTTGTGTGTCTTGGAGGGACCCCAAAAACCACGACCCTTGGCTTTGTCCATGAGACGGCGTCTGGCATCAGCATATGCATTGAGGCATGAGGCTATTTCCGGATCACTCTGCAAAGACTCCACTATGGCTTCTTCAAACTGAGACATCACCAGAGCATCTTCATCGCCTTCGGCAAGAAGAGTCTCAAACGCAGAATCTTCAGTGTTTTCCGTGGCAACAAAAACTTGCTCATCCCATTCTTCAACCTCGCCCTCAATCTCATCAATCATGTTTGCATCGTAAGTCTTGGTGCGACCTGGAGTTTTGGTACCCGCTTGAACCTCTCCGAAAAACTTGGACCCCAGTAGCTGTAAGGCTGAAGTCACCTTGTCATACTCCAGTTCACCTTTGGATTCCACAATGATACGCTTCTTATCATCAGAGGATAAACCTGAGTTTCGAAGAAGTATGTAGGCCCTCATCTCTTCTAAGGTTGCCCCCATACTCATGAGATCTTCATATTGTACCTCGTGGCGAGCTAGGTAACTGGTGTGGGTTTCATCACTCCTTTGAACAGTTCCAAAAATGGCCCTTTCAAATCGCTCGTACTTCTTCTCCAACTTTGACTGTCCCCAAACACCTCCTAGCGTTTTCACCACCAATTTCACACCATCAACTGAATTCACCCGCAGCTTTTCGGGATCCAACCTAACCACTTTTGCAAATGCCGTACCCTCGCAAAGCATGCATGCTCGAGGCGCTAGGGACGGCAAATGTTCCGGAGGCCAGATGTTGGCCAGAAATTCCAGCCTGCGTGTGTATTCGTTCACATCTGTATCACCAGGTTTGAAAACAGGGATGGAGTGCCAGGGCAGAAATGAGTTGCCCCCAGTTCCAGTCGCCGCAGCTGCTGCGGTCACATCACTGCCCCCAGACATAGTGCACCTGGATCAACTCGCTTGCGCCCGTAGCGGCGAGCCCGTGGGCTCCGCTACCAGTGTTCAACTGGCAACGGACCCGATCTCTCAACCTGAATGACCGCCTGGTCAATGATGTAGAAATGGATAAGGACCCCTGATCCTGTGAACTTGTTACACTTCTCTATTTGTGGCCTCCTGACCAAATCACACCACCATCAGCGCGGCCACGCGCTACCCTTTTTGGACCCTGCCTTGACCCCCTGGTCAGTTGAGCCTAGAATGCTACGTCGATCACTCCAGTGGTTGCATATGTGGATCTTCATGACTCCCGGCAGCTGGAAAAACACAATTTATATATACATATATGTATATGTGTGTGTGTATTACCTTTGTGTGTGCGCGTGCGCATGTGTGTATGTGCAGTGTGTATGTGTGTATGTGTGTATGTGTGTATGTATGTTGGCTTCGCAGCTTTGATGATTGATTCAACCTGCTTCAATTTCGCTGAGCTGCTGGGTGCTGTCCCAAACGTGCGTCACCACTGGTGCCTCAGCCTCACGCCAGTTGCGATTTCCGCGGCCCTCCCATCTAGGCTGATTCTTGTTCAAAATCACGTACTTGAACTGTGTGCCAGCACCCACTCCGAGTGGCAAGTCGTTCAGGACCCAAAGGTCTTTCACCTTCTGCATCAACCTGCAACGGAAAACCATGAATCAAAAATGAATGGAATGTTTCAGAGTGTATCAATAGTATTTCAATAGGATCAACAAGCTGAACAGCTAACTGAGGACAGCTGAGGAGATTCCACCGAGACACGCTCCAGAGGTTGGATTCCAGGACCCCAAGCTGGGAACCTCGCCGCAGACCACCACCTCGAGCTATCATGCTGTGCTCCAAATTCATCGAGCTCAAGGCTCAAAATTCATCAAGATTCAACGGAAAACAATATCCAATTTTGCCAATTTTTTCAATATCAATCACATGCAAATTTTATGATTGGCTTGTTGCAAATCATATTGGGTCATTAGTTGCTACTTGCTGTAATGCTTGCCGTAAATTGATCCCCGTAGGTGTTGCCATGGCATTTCCAGAGGCCCACCTCACCTGCATCCCTGGCTCCTCTTTGGGAAGACGAACACGTAGACAGACTTCAGACATGCTGAGCTGACGTTCCAGGGTTCGATGTGGTGGATTGAAATCCTGATGTTTGGAGCTGTGAAGGATGTGAAGGCTCAGATTTCTGACTGCAACCGAGTACAAGTGACACCAATAAGACACAATGCTACACAAGCCAAGCATCAGGTTCTGGCACCCGTTCAGGGCTGCCTTCCACCTCTGCAGTTGCTGCCACTGCAGGCGCTGGGGCGGGCGCTGCTGCGGGCGGCTCTTTGGAAGGCTTTTTGGAAGGCGAAGATTTCCGGCTGCCGCTTTTGGCAGCTCTCGCCTTGGCCTCTTTGCCTCAAATCAATCAATGAAACCAGCTTATGGGGTCTGGGAAGTTTCAAGAAACTTCGAAACATATTCAATTGTATCAGCGGGGCAGCCTCACCAAGACAGAAATCGAAAGTGAACGACAAGTTGCTGATCCACACGCACCAGCTGTGGCCTGAGATAGCATCTACCGATGGATGGCTAGGGAAACCAGCAATCAGTGTCGGTGAGATGATTGGCCAACTTTTGCCTTGATGCATCATCAATGATGATGGTGCATGATGAATCATGATGATGCATGATGCATGATGCATCCCCACCTGAACCACCTTTCTCCCAATAGGATCGGTCGTAGTCGGGTGCCACTCGTGGGCCTAAGGCCACCCTCAAGGCGGCTGGGCGACCAACCTCTGCCAGGTAGAGGTCATTTTCGGCGATGAGGATCTTCACTTGCGCATCCACCTGGGACGCACCGCGATGTAGCAATGGTTTTGCTCGATTCAAAACCTATCACTGTGACCACGGGTCGGCTTTAAGTGATGGACAAAAAGCCATCGAAATGGCAGGAAAATGTATATGTAAGTTGGATTAAATTTAGGCCATAGGACTGGTCAAACGACCAACAATTCTAATGGTTTGCCTGGCCACTTGGATGCCCGAGTCAGCTCGCAACTTCAAAAGGATGCCGATTTTGTTCCTCACATCATCGCCCCAATCACAAATGTGATCCCAGAAGATGCTGGGGATGCCTCAGGTACAAATTCAGCTCGAGCAGTGGACCATAGTGCACCAGGCGAAGAATCCAGTGCACTGAGGCTGATACCCGGGTGCGTCAGGATGTAGGCATAGCCAACCAGAATCTTATCCTCAGCGGGCTCCAACGATTGTCAATGTGGCTAAACTGCTAAAACTCAGCACATGAGTCACAGCGGAGCTCACTGGATTTGATTTGTGTATGAGGTATGTGTGTAACATTTTTGTGCATATGAACATCTACATACACATACATTGCAATTCTACATGCTAGGTAGCTGCTAGGTTCTTGTAGGTTATTTAGATATATATATATATTATGAGCAGTTCTTGGGCAACATCAATGGCATCAACAGGCATAATACAGCATGATGTTGCACTGTTCCCGTTGAGGGCCGAGACTCGTTGGGGAAGGGCCAATGTGCCTGAGTACTTCCTGTGTCGTGGTTGTCCAGGAAGGTGACGGCATGAGTTGGCATCCAACCAATGAGACCCGGAGGTTTTCCTCTCACAGTTCACGCTGAGGAACCACGCGGAAAAGACTCAGGCTTTGGTGTTCAGGTGTTCGATCATGACTTGAGCTAGTGGACCCGACTATTTTGGCTCATAGCATCTACAAACCTGCACCTCATGCTTCCACATTCCCATGTGCCTGAAGGATCTTTCAAACGCCAATATTGGCAGTTCCTTGCAGCTTCCTGTAAGATTCCCTTCCTTGGCCATGGCGCATCTGACAACAATGAATTTTGTGTGTGTGTGTGTCAGCTTACTTTTTTAACATTGGCCTTCCTTGGACATGTAAGGTGAACATGGTGAACAGGGTGAACATGGTGAAGCCTGCCAATTCGTGGTTTTGTTTGATGTTTTGTTTTGGCGTAGTTTCGTGGTGAAGTCGAACGCCGTGCTCTTCTGGCCCGTGCCTTTGATCCAGTTGATGGTATCCTGGCGGTGCCTGTCCTGGTTGTAGGCCAAGCCATTGTCATCGTAGGCCATGTCTAGCCACAGCTCCCCCACCGCCCAAGCGGGCTCCGTCTTCTCGCAGTACTTCCCCACGAATTCGGCACCGTAGCCCTTCACGAAGTCGAAACGCCAGGCGTCAAAGCCTACATCCAGGCGCAGCCAGCGCATCCAAATCCTCGATGTCCCTCTCTCTCTCTCTCTCTGAACTTATATTAAGATATTTTAAGTACGTTATGCTGTTTCGTCAAAGATGTTGAAACACATAATAAATGTTTTACAATATTGATCAGGTTGGTAGGTGCTCTATCAACTTGGTAGTTCTTGATTGTTCGTATTAAATGACATTCGGATTGGCTCGCCTTTGGGTATGGGTACTGCTAAATGTAAATACATCTGCATCGGCCTATCCAAAATGATGAAACAATGACCAAAGCCATGCAGCTGGATGCTCTGCTGCACTTTCATGTTGCCATGGTCGATGTCCGGTGCAGCTTCGAACTTGCCGTCGTATTTGCCAGGACCCCGTTCACCAGTGCCGTCGGAGTAAGGGCACCCAAGAGTGATGGCCCAACCCTGCCAATCCATGACGCCGGCGAAGCTTTTTCGCCTCTCTATGCCTTGAAGCACAAGACTGAAAGAAAGCAAAGAAAGCAAAGAAAGCAAAGAAAGCAAATAAGGCAGAGAAAGCAAAGAAAGCAAAGCGGACACGCATTATACCACGAGTTCTGTGTCATACACACACCGTCGCAATTTGTATGCTCTGACATACCTATTTACAATTATATATTCTGTATACCTATATATTGTATATTCATGTATGCATATATGTATGTATATATGTATGTGTGTGTTTTGCTTATCACAACACTCATAGGTGAGCTTATTCTGATGCCACCGCAACATGATCATGCTGGTGATTTGCAATCTGCAACCTATATCAACCCATGATATGCTGGCACCAATCCTTCAACTTTCTACCAGGATCATGTTCCAAAACAGGCCAAGTTTCCTGTGCTGGTGAAGACATTCCATCGCCCTTGTGAATCCTGTTGGTCACCACAGCGGTGGTTGATGACAATGTCCGCCACACCCCTCATGCCCAATTCGTGCAGCTTCTTCAGCAACTTCTGCAGTGATTCCTTTAGCTGCTAAGGGATGCTCAACGCCAGGCATCCAAAGTTTAAGATCAATAACAAAAGTTGACTTATCTTCCTGTCATCACCTGTCATCACCTGTCATCCCTGTCACCCTTTTCATCAAACTTTCGTCCTTGTTTCCATATTTGGAGCCATCCAAGTTGAAAAGTTGTGAAGGCAAATAGCCTTGAGGTGCGACTGAGGCTGTGCAAGGCGGCAGCCAGAGATCTGTGATCCCCATGTCCTGGCGAAAAAACGTCTCGGCCCAACATGGCCCGGTAGCCATGGCCCAACCATACCATATCGACCATATCTGGTCCCACGGTATTGGATGTGTCGGATGACTTCGGATGATATTGGTGTATCTTGCTGTGACTTCAGCAGTCTTCAGCCTTATCTGAAGAAAAACTCTGGATAAAGTTAGGTCAGGTGTTGGAAGTCGAAATGCTAAGTCAAGCCAAGTCTCCTTGAACATCTGCAACTTGGATGCCACAATGCCATACCAGTCTCCCCTTCCAGCTTTATGACTCTCCCAATTGAATGCCTGAAGCATTACGGTCTCCGATGGGTTGGCATAGTCCGTAATTTTCGTCATCTCTTCCAACAAGGTTGTGCTCTTCATACGGCGTTGTACTGTGTTCAAACCTTGGCATTTCTGAGTCCCGATCGGGCCACTCAGCAGCATTTCAACCAACGACGCAGTATTGAATCTACACAAGGGGTGGTCCTGGAAGCGTGCTTTTCTCCAAAAACGGAAAAGTTATACATAAATATGAATTATAAGTGATAAATATAATATAAGTTGTACATTTTGAGGGTTAGACCCCCTGATTGCTGCAATCATCTCCAAAGGGTGGGCATTGCCTCAGCTGACCCAACAAGAAAAAATTAGGAAAAACAGAACTAAAGAAACGCGGAAAAAAAAAACTAATATTTCTATATGTATACACACACCACGCACATACATATACACTCGCATTCAATTCAGTAATTACTTGCTAATAGATCAGTACCACTCAGAAGCTGCTGCCTGATTTATGTGTGCATTGTATGGATACATATGATATAAGCTGGCGCGCAATTGCATTATACACATGATCATCCCGTTTGGTTGTCGAGCAACGTTCCCTTTCCATCTCCAGCACATGTTGCTCCTCTGCCTCCGCCTCTGCAAAGAACTCGTCTGCATCGATCAACCTCAATTTTCGAACAGACTGGGGGTGTGCAGGGTGCTGAACCGAACCTATCCTATCTATCGAACAGTTCAAGCACTGTTTCTACTGCCAAGAGGCATCAAGCTAGGAGTTCGGCTCATCTGGAAATTTGTGGTGCCGTCCTGCAGGAAGAAGCATTTCAATTCACAAACTGTTTTGCTGCTTGACTGAGGTCCCTGAACCTTGCTGATTCTAACTCCGTGCTGATGAATCACATGCTGATGAATTTCAGTCTTTCCGCCAAAAATGGACCAGTTCCCATCAAAGCTAAGGGTGAGAAAAATCTTGAAAATGTTCGGGCAGGGCAGCTGTGGGTCCTCGTTCAACATCAGGAATCGGGAGGCATTCTGTTTCCGCCCGGAGGAATCCATCCGCGGTCGTGAAGGCTCGTCTGGCTCGGCTAGCGGGACCTCACTCGTGTCAGCAGGCGCGCCCTGCACCTTCTGCGTTTCGGTCGTGATGTCTTTCTTCTCATAGCTACCGCGCACGACAAGCAGGTGGGGGCCGCCAGGTGGAATAGCCAGTTTTTTATTGTTACCGCCTTCCCACTGCGCATCTGCTCCGTGCTCATTGGCAACCACGAATTTAAATTCCTGTCAGGGGTGCAAGTCTGCATCCTCTTGTGCATGAACACTGTCCACGTCCCCTCTGTAGGTCACCAGTTTCATGGCAAATAAACGCTGATGGGACTAAGATTGACTTAGGGCAGTAGCACCAGCAGGCCGCATCAGCATTTAATGGCATTAATACCGCCACTGCCAAGATTCGATCTCACCGGAGGATTTCAGCACGACGTCTGGAGAAGTCCACTTTGGAAAGCTTTGAGCCGTTGTCATGCATGGCACACCTCTGTCAAAATACACAGTTTCACAACTGCAGAAAACTGCAGAAGTATATATTTGAAATTATTTGAAGCTGGAAAAGGGGAAACCCATGGGACATGGGACGTGGAAAAATAAAGTTCCTGGCTAAAGCCTCCAAGGCACCTTGGTCCACTTTCCAAGAGCCTAGCTCTGGGACGGAACCTACCACGTAGACTGCCTGCCCAGGCTTCGTTTTCTTGCATTCCACCCGAAACTGCAGCATGGACGCCATGGTGAGCGAAGACTTTAGTGCCAGGTAGGAGGAGAAAAAAAAAACGCTCAGGATTCCAAGATGTGGATCGGATTTGGATCGGATGAAAATCGGATTCAAATCTGTGCTAGGGCTTTGAAAACTTTTGGTGCTAGAGATTGCCAAGGGGTAAAGCTGGGGATTGGATTGAAAACGGCCATGTAATGCATTGATGGCATTGATAATGCCAAAGGAGTTGGGAAGAGCTTGATTTGTAAATCTGGGAGCCGCCATGGCAATGATGCTCCTAGCTCCATGCATGAAGCCAACGGTTCAATCTATCAGCATTCACCTTTCGCCATTAGCCTCTGGTAGAATAGGGGAACCCGAGGGTCCAAGAAATGGCAAGTTTGGCAAGTTCTGAACTCCAAATTGTGCTCTTAGCGGCTTAGCGCTTCACTCCGGATATCATCGGCCACCTGGTGCCTGGCACAACAGTGCAGGAAACCCTGATCCTTTCTGATTTTTCTGGTTGAAGGGACTGACACGACTTCTCAGCCTCACATGGTCTTGCCACGCGTTGCCTGCTTCTCATGGATTCGAAGCGACATGCATCGCACACCTGCAACTGCCCCAGGAGGCTCTGGGTTGGGCACGAAACCAGTCAAATAGAAAGCCAAATATGTCAAATATGATTTCTTTTTGACTCAAGACTGGTTCCTTCTTAAATCCGAATTTACCAGCCTATGTATAAATCAAATGAGTGAAAAGAATGAATGCCCAGCTGCACCGCATGACAAGATGCTGCAGTCACAGCCTTCTGGAGCTGCTCGGAGGATAGGGAAAGGCCCAAAAACTCCGCCACCTGCGCGACTTGCCGCGACAGATCCGCCTCAGCTGGCAACACCGAAGCCATCTCGAAATCATCGCTGGATTGGCTACGAGGCTGCTATGCCCATCATCTACTAGGGCCCTAGGGCCATTATCTGCGTGTCAAGCATTCTGCGCAAAAATGCTTTGGAAACCGGTCCACTGGATACGTGCTGAGCTGGCGTACTTTCATCTCCTCGAAGTAGACAATTCCTAAGACCAACACAGGACATTCAAGACTTACGTGATTTACGTTGACTGTTTGCCGCAGTTTTGAGCCTTGAGTATTAAAAGGTCTAAAATGGGATGAGAAGCTGCGCCCCATGAAGGGGAATGGATCTAGATACTTCGCGGTGATGGCCAGCACAACTTCATGAGATGTGAATTGTGAGGATTGTGAGGTTCATTGCACCAACCCACGCCCAGAGCTAACCCGTAGGATCCATGGGCCACCAAACGAATCCGGTCAGGATGAAGCTTGGCAAGCTTCCACCTGAGCGCTGAACGCCACAACGCCACATTTCACCGCCAGAAAGCTACTTCAATTTGAGCTGTTGTATACAACCAAGGGAACAGCCCACATCAATGCGAAAGTGGGAGTTGGGCACCCCAACCATCTCTTCACGTGGTCGAAATATGAGCCGCCGTACTCAGCTGACCTGTCAATTCAACATGGTGGGTGGCCAATGCAGCAAGTTTCAGAAAAGTCTGTGATACCATCACGGTCATCAGGCAAGGTGATGTGCATTTTCTGGACTCTACCCGGCTGCAAAAATACAGCCAGGGAGCCTTTCACCAGACAGCCATTGCCTCACCCACTCATCCCAACCTCAAGACGCAAATGACAGCCTATGCACAGCAGAGACAGGGCATTGAAAATCAAAAATCTGGTGGTGCAAAAAGCCGTTGCCTTTAGAAACTTTAGAAGAAGAAGTGCTTCGGGCTATTAACATCTATTAACTAGCATGTTACCCTGCTACTGAGTCCGGCACTGCCATCCCATCCAATTGCTGCATTGTTTGCGTGGTGGTGCCTTGCAGGGAAGAACACTGCGTTGCAGACAGCCGCCTTCAAGCTGACCAACAGGAAGCATGCCGCCAGACTTTTGAGCCCTGAGCCTCAAGGAGATCATAGCGTCCTGCATAAGAGCAGCCATAAGTCAACTGCACAGCTGCTGACGGAACTTAAAAACATCCCCTCCAAAAAAAAAAACTCAATGCAAGTTATCCCAAGTGGCAAATCAGATCAATATAAATCAGGCATGTTGAATTCATTGAATCTATTCGAGTCAGCTTCCCGTCCTTGGGGTTCCGTACCACATAGAGCACCTTGCCGTGCGCTTGGAGCACTTCGCCTTCTCCACGCGCCAGGCCGGGATGCCTTACACTTCACACAGTTCACCAAAGAAGTTTTGGAAGATTGATAGTGTGCTATATATGAAGCCGAAGTCTAAGGAAGAATGAAATGACCATGAATGTTCTTTGAAAGAAGGATTAAGAAGGCTAGGCTAAAATGAAGTGAATGAAAATAACCGAAATATCTTTGAGCACGTTGGATCTGGAACATCGCCCACGTGTGTTGCGAGTGAGGACCAGACATGTCTGCTGGCACATGGCTCTTCAAAACACGAGGCCGCGGGAATCCCTCAATTCGTTGAACCTGAGATTTGGTTTGTGAGAGGATAAGAAGATGATCCTTTTGCCTCATATTGCCTCATATTGCCTCTACTTTTGCATGAATAGCATATGGAACACTAGGGTGGAACTATCCGCATCATTCTGCATCCCTTTCACCAACTGTGCAGGCCGGTGTGCAACAAGGAGTGGCAAGGAGTTGATACGTGGGGGTTCGAAGAGTTCGAAGAATCGGGCAGCCGGACGTATGAAGCCGATGAGGCAATGCCTCAGCTACACCAAGGTCATCAGCAATGGGTTAAGTCCAGCAACTTACAACACGAGTCTCACATCCCTGGATGCATTGTCATGTTTGTTATCATGCTACATGGGTGGGGTCGGGTGGGGTGGGGTGCGGTGGGTCAACAACGTTCATGTTTACTTGCACACAAAAGATAGGCTAGATTACGATATCTTCTCTTGCACTTGCACACAAACGGTATGATATCTTCTCTTGCACTTGCACACAGACAGGATGCTACGTTATGATATCTCCTCTTGCACTTGCACAATCTTGCACACACACTTGATGCTGCGTTTTGATATCTTCTCTGGGACAGAATTTACGGATTTTCAGGCACAATTTGACGAAGTGACAACTGACCAACAACATGAAAAAAGGGTGGAAAACGTGCAAATTAAACATGATGAAACTTTTCGTCGTGAAATAATCCAAACAGATCATTCATGAAATAGCAAAACGTGAGGCGTTTTTGCACATTGAAGTCAAAAACGCAGGGGTGCAAGGAACCGTGTTACCATGTTTGAGGGTTGGCTGGTCCACTCCTTCACATGCAGTACATGTATTGAATGTGTTGAATCGGTGGGCATCGGTGGTATCAACTATATACATATATACATATATAGACACAGTCACTGCATGTAATTGCAATGTCAAGATGCTTCCCTCCAGGAAAATGGCGTGCTCTGCCTTGGCAAACAAAAAGGGACGTAGTGGAGTGTAGAATATCCAGTGCACTTTCCACCTTATCCATCCTTATCCACCATATGAAAACCGTGGAGAAACAGGATTCGGCAGGATTCGGCCGCCTTTTCTCCGGGTCAGCCATGGGCTCTCGGATCACGCAGAAACTTCGCGGATTCGCGGACCCGGCCATCGGCTCTCGGCTGGGCTTTAGGATGTTCTCATCCAGAACCTTGAAAAAGATGAAAAAGAAAGTGTTGCTCGAAAGAAAAGGAACAACAATGGCCTGAGTTCTGCAGATGCACCCTGATGATCCCTGATGTACAAAATCGTTTGTGGTCATTCTAGTGCAAGCTTATCAAGATTCCAAGATCAGAAAATCACGGAGGACGCACTCAGACCCTCCGGCAACATGTCTCGAAGGTCTTGACGTTCCTCCACATCAATGCCACAGCCACGAAAATCGAAGAGCAACGAAGTGAGACTGCTGGGCATCTGTTCCAAGAGGTTCTTGGCACCAACAAAGCCTGACATTCAATTTCTGGGAGACGCATCGCACGCGAGTTTAAGAACAAAGAAATGGCAAAGTCAGAAAGATAGAAAATTACACTAACACAGTTATACTATGTTATACTAACAAACAATGATAAACAATGGGTGTCAATATGTGTCAATAATATTCAATAATATCATCTACGAGCTAAGAAACTGATGCGACAACGTGAGCAATCCAGATGCAGCCGCTCCAATTTGGACATTTCACGCAAGGCTCGCGCCAACGCCTGGGCCCCGTCCCGGCCGATGCTGCAGCCACCGAGGCCCAGCCACAAGCGCAGCACCCCTCGGGGTAAGTGTTGTGCTAAGGCGATGGCGCCTTCGGCCTGGATGTTGCACCAGTCCAAGTCCTAACACGTGCAACACGCAACACATGCAATGCTGCAGCGTCACAAAGTTTCAAAGAGCACAAAGATTCGACAAAGATAACATAAAAGGATCACAAAGCTAACAGTTAGTAACATTTAGTAACATCCAAAGAGTCAAAGGAAAAGTCAATCAAAGTGTCACAAAGGTAACATTTGGACCACAGTGGCCACAAGGACTTGGGAACATTTGGGAACTTGGCAGAAAAATCAATGAGATGATCCAAGAACTGGCAATTCAATGGTCATCCCAGCAAAGTGAGCAATCTGAAGAAAAACCGTGCACCCCAAGTCCTATGATTTGCTGTGATGTCACCATGTCCGTCTCTCACTTAGTCTCACTTCCACTTCAAAGAGTGTATTTGGAGAGCCAATAAAGGGAAATAAAGGGAAAGTCATGAAAAGTCTCAAAACTAAGGTTTTATACAATTTGTCACCCCAAACCAAGTACCATGCATTGTGCTCACACGACCTCAAGCCAAAGGCTCCAAGTGTAGTGCATCCAAATCTTGAGGCAATGCCTGAGCCATGGCCAACGCACCATTGAAGCCCAAAGGGCAACTCTCAAAGCCCAGTTGAAGAACCCGCAAGCTCTCCTTGGCAGAGCGAAGCGGCGAAGCTCACCATCTGATCACTTCCCAAAAAGATCAAAAAGTCACAATCAAAAAGGTTTGACACAATTTGAGAAGCAGATAGAAGTTAGTGAAGAAAAATAAGAAAATACACAGAAAGGGTTACAGTCACAGTTTGCGCTCTCAAGCGGCAAATGGCAGCTGCGACATGACCACCTTACAGTCTGAGGAGATCAAATCACATCCGCCCAGCTGTAGTCGCAGCTGTTGCAGACCTTTCAGCATTTCAGCAACAAAAATTGAAGGATGAACTTGTCTTAAGGGTCGAGGGTTCCACCTCATAATCTACCTCTCCGATCTCTCTGCCAAATCATGGGTTCTACCAATTCTCCTTCGGTGCTGTTTGATAAAGTAGCACATCCCAAAAAAACAAGATGAAGCCCACGAACCCGAATGCTCACACGTATGTTAATGGTGCAGATGTCAAAACACATGGTTATGCAGTCACGCACAATACCTTTCTGCAATAGTTTATTTGAACAGTCTTGTACATGTTTCCCTTGTTACCAGTCTGCAGTGTGGAGTGGAAAGTGTAGAGTGGGGAGTGTAGAGTGTGTAGAGTGTAGAATGCGGAGTGTAAAGTGTAGAGTGCGCAATATGGGTGTAAAGTGTAGAGTGTGGAGCGTAGAGTGTGGAGTGTGGAGTGTAGAGTGTGGAGTGAGGAGTGTAAAGTGCAAAGTGTGGAGTGTGGAGTGTAAAGTGAGGAGTGTAAAGTGTGGAGTGAGGAGTGTGGAGTGTAAAGTGAGGAGTGTAAAGTGTGGAGTGAGGAGTGTGGGGTGTAAAGTGAGGAGTGTAAAGTGTGGAGTGAGGAGTGCGGAGTTTGTAAATTGTAGAGTGTGAAGTGTAGAGTGTAAAGTATAGAGTGTGAAGTGTAGAGTGTGGAGTTTAGAGTGTAGCGTCTGGAGTGTGGAGTGGAAAGTGTAGAGTGTGGTGTGTAGAGTGTGGATTGTGGAGTGTAAAGTGTGGAGTGTAAAGTGTAGACTATGGAGTGTGGAGTGTAAAGTGTGGTGTGTAGTGTGGAGTGAGGAGTGTAAAGTGGAAAGCGTGGAGTGTAAAGTGTAAAGTGTGGAGTGTAGAGTGTTTAGTGGAGAGTGTAAACTGTAGAGTGTGGAGTGTGGAGTGTAAAGTGAGGAGTGTAAAGTGTGGAGTGTGGAGTGAGGAGTGTAAAGTATAAAGTGTGGAGTGTGGAGTGCGCAGTAAAGTGTGGAGTGTGGAGTGCGGAGTGTGGAGTGGAAAGTGTAGAATGTGGAGTGTAAAGTGGGGAGTGTGGAGTGTAGAGTGTGGAGTGAGGAGTGTAAAGTGTAAAGTGTAGAGTGTAGTGTGGAGTGTGAAATGTGGAGTAAAAAGTGTAAAGTGTGGTGTGTAGAGTGTGCAGTGTGGAGTGTAAAATGTAAAGTGTGGAGTGTAGAGTGTAAAGTGTGGAGTGTGGAGTGTAGAGTGCAAAGTATAGAGTGTAAAGTGTAGAGTGTGGAGTGTAGAGTGTAAAGCGACGAGTGTAAAGTGTGGGGAGTGTAAAGTGTGGAGTGTGAAGTGTGGAGTGTAAAGTAAGGAGTGTGTAGTGTAAAGTGTCGAGTGTGGAGTGTAAAGTGTAGAGTGTGGAGTGCGGAGTGTAAAGTGTAGAGTGAGGAGTGAGGAGTGGAAAGTGTAGAGTGTAGTGTAAAGTGTGGAATGTGGAGTGTAAAGTCTCAGATGAGGAGTGAGGTGTGTAAAGTGCAAAGTGTAAAGTGTGGAGTGTAAAGTGTAGAGTGTAGAGTGTGGAGTCAGGCAGTGTAAATTGTGGAGTGTGGAGTGTAAAGTGTAGAGTGTGGAGTGCGGAGCTTCCCCCATAGACAGAGATAAGACACGTGGGTGCAAAAAATAAACAGCATTTCGCGCGAGACTTCCTCCAATTTTGATATTTTCGACACGTTATCAAACAGGTTTGGAATGTCACAAAGTGCCACGCCTGCCACGCAAAACGGCATGACAACCTGCTTGGACACATTCGAATAGGAGATGTTTTCCAGCTTCCCCCATAGACACGACGACGCCACAGGAAAAACCAGAGACTCGAGACGAGACGGATGGCTGCAGAAAAACGAGCATTTCGTGCGAGACTTCCACTAATTTTGACATTTGCGAAACATCATCAAACAGGTTGGAATGTCACAAAGTGCCACGCCTGCCACGCAAAACGGCATGACAACCTGCTTGGACACATTCGAATAGGAGATGTTTTCCCGCTTCCCCCATAGACACGGCGACGCCACAGGAAAACCAGCGACTCAAGACAAGACACGTGGATGCAGAAAAACCAGCATTTCGTACGAGACTTCCTCCAATTTTGATATTTTCCACACGTTATCAAACAGGTTGGAATGTCACAAAGTGCCACGCCTGCCACGCAAAACGACATGACAACCTGCGTGGAAACATTCGAAAAGGAGAGGTTTTGCGGCTTCCCCCATAGACACGGCGACGCCACAGGACAACCAGCGACTCCAGACGACACACGTGGGTGCAAAAAAACGAGCATTTCGTACGAGACTTCCGGCAATTTTCAAAGTTGGCATCATGACACAAAGAGAAGTTTTGCAGCTTCCCCCATAGACACGGCGAGGCCACGGGAAAACCAGAGACGCGAGACGAGACACGTGGGAGCACCAAAACGAGCATTTCGCACGAGACTTCCTCCAATTTTCACACTTTGCAGCTTCAAAAGCGACGTTTTCCTACGAGTTTTCCTTAGAACCCGAAAATTTGCAACCTCAAAATCAATGTTTCGTGCGAGACTTCCGTCAATTTTCAGCACATGTCAGAAAATGCCACGCCGGCCACGGAATTTGCACCTTGTCGCCACTTGACGCAGCCCTGCCAATGCGATTTACAAAAAACACGCAACAGGACACGTCTAAAGTGCTGCGCCTGCCACGAAAAATGACGATAGACACGTCCAAAGTGCTGCGCCTGCCACGAAAACTGCAACACATCTTCTAAAAAAGTCACAAAAGTATTGCGCCTGCCACGCAAAACGATTTTCAACACGTTGCAAAACACGTCTGAATGTCACAAAGTGCCACGCCTGCCACGCGAAACGAAGCAACGACACGTCTGAAACCTCCAAAAATGAACACCTCTGCAAAACTTCCCATAGGCACGGCCATACGGACCTCGTACGAACGGTTGCGGACGGTTGCGAACGGTTGCGAACGGTTGCGGACGCGGACGCAACGTCGAGCGAACACACTCTCAACCCCCAGACCCCCAGAGTGAAACGGGAACCCTTGCTACGCATTCGGGAAAACACTTCACCAGAACTTCTGACATTCCCCGCCTGATGGCAAATGCTCTGCGAGTGCACGAATGCCAGTTATGGGTAAACGACAATCGCGGAAATCCAAACACAATTCTCGGAGCTGCCCGGGCAAATGCTCAGCAAATGCTTTGGCACCTCTGGGGAGAAGCACCCAACGACCGCACTAAACCGGACACCAAAACCCATTCTGCCCTGGACTCATGCGCCTCAAATCGAACCCAAAAATTGAACATCCCTCATACCAGCATTCTTTACATCTTACAGACTAGTGATGTAAGTGATGTCCCCGACATAACATTGTTTGAAATTGTTTGTTTTAAAACATCTATGTGAAATAAACTATGATGAATTATGATGAATTATGATAAATTGATATAAATTGATATAAATTGATATAAATTCTGTGAATGTTCAGTGCGGAAGGCACCTTTTGCGCCCACGGGACAACCTCGCATGCTGAGATACAAACTCCTCAGCTGCTGCGGGAGGCGCTCCGCCAGGGCTCGGGCTCCAGCCTCTCCGATGCCACAGCCACGGAAGGCCAGCTGCAAGTGCTGGAGGTTTCCTGGGGCTGTCAAGTTCTTGAAACATTCCAAGGCAACTCTGGTATATTACTCTCTCTCTCTCTCTCTCTGGTATATTGCTGGTATCTACAACTGTGTGCTCATTCTAAACAGTTTCGAGGTTTCAATCCCAAGAAATAGTACAAGAAAAACTATTGCATAAATTTAATTTAGATAAATCCCAATCAGCTTTGGTTTTCGCATGTTTTCCGCCCAGCCACGGGGCAGCCTCTCCGCCAGGATCGAGGCTCCATCGACGCCCACAGAACACCAACGGAAGCGCAGCTCCAGCCGCTCCAAGTCGTCGGGGAGACGAGCGACCAAACTGCGCATGCCTCTGATCTCTACCAAGACCCTACCAGTTTTCAGAGAGCCCAGGGTTGTTTGATCTGGTATATGGCATTATTCATAGTTGTTTATTTTTTGTTATATATATATATATATACACATGCGTGTGTGTGTGTATATGTATCACGGAAGTATAATGGCATATACGGGGTGGCCATCTCTAAATGTTGGCATCTAACTTTTGGTGGCATGGACTCTCGTGGGCTGTTTTATCCTTCAAAGCTTGAAAGGAACCTTTGCGTGGCCTGTCTTCCCCATGTCACAGGATGCAAACTTCATGCCAGAGCGGAAAGCCAGCAACCAAACATCTGCACTCAGCAAGCGCCGGCGAACACTCGCACAAAGGCGCTGCAATCGGAAGAGCCCTGCAGGAAGAAACCCTGCAATGTGCAGCACCACCGCATCATCAGCCAGTGACATACCGGTTCATGCTTGGCGAGGCGCTCAAACACGCCCGCTCCGAGCCGTGCTTTCCCGTTTCAATGTCAAAATCAAAATCAAAAGTAGGATGAAGTAGGGCAGATTAGGGCAGGGTACATTGCGAGACACTACAGCAGTGTCAGCTCACGCCTTCAAGACAAATTTTATTTTTGCTACTGTCTACCGGCAAAGCATACATATCTACTAAGTTATCTGACAGTAACATTTAAGAATCTGAGCCAAATATTGTCTTTGTATGTCTTTGTCTTTCTTTCACAGGCTCACTTTCTTTCATGACAGCCGGCTGGGAGCCAGAAGCCAAACGATCAAGGCACAAGATGGCAGCACAAGCCACATCCACTGTTCACAGCTAGACACATCTGCCCAACTCTGGACTGACATCCTAAACATACAATGCTCATCTAAAGCCCATCTAAGGCCCCAGCATAGTTGACACCAGCACCGAAGAGGCAGCTGACAACAATCTGTACCTTTGCAGCTCAGATGGATTGTCAGCCTTGACCCATCCTGATTTCCAGCTGAGTCTGTGAGACAGTGAGAAGTAAGAAACAGGGCCGCCAATGGCCACCATTGGATATTCAAGTCTCATATTGAGCGAAACTCAAAACACTTCATTGCTTTCAGCGCACAAAGGCGCCAGAAATGTGCTGAGGTCACGGCCATCCATGTCGTGCCACAACGAGGAAATGTGACAACAAAAACCTGAGGTTTGGGGTTTGGGTGGTCAGAGCAGCAATGTTTTGGCATGGGCCAAATTGGATCCAAAGCGATCAAACATAGATCATCATAGATCAAATTGGTCTGGTGGCACTGTGGCACCGTGGCACCTGGCCTGGATCCTAAGGCTCCAACATCCTCAGGTTGGCAGCGGAAGACCTCCCGGAGAGCAAGGAACCTTGGCCAAAAATGGGTCCAAAAATCAAGGGAAAGTCTAGGTCGTCTAGGTCGTCTAGGTCGTCTAGGTCGTCTAGGTCGTCTAGGTGCTGGATGATGCTCGCAGGTTCGAGGTGTCAGATTTTAGATTTGCGTACGAAATTCGTGCTCAGAATCTCACGTAGACGCAGGATCAACAGCACACAGCTGTGTAGCAGTGGCCAGGGCCTCCTGATGGCGGCCCAAGCCTCTGGCAGCTCTGGCATGGCACAAATTTTCCCGCCAGGTCACCCCTCGCCATCGCCATCATTGCCCATCTACAGTTGAAATCTGCGAGCTAATTCTGATTATTCGGATCAATGCTGTTCATCTAAATTTAAATCCAAGCGGTTGATTTTTTCCATATTTTTCCATAGAGCCCAAGCCTTCAAGACAACGACAAGCAAGCGCCAGGCCTTATACCAAGCCAAGCCAAGACGAGATCTCGACGCTGATACATGCTGATACCAATTGGAGGCATGTTTGAAAAGTTCTTGCGAAGAATGCGCCCGAATGCGCCGATGAAAATCACAGAAATGTCACACTTGGCTTTGCGCAATTCACCTCCTCGGGCGCGATCTTCAGAGCCTTTCCAAGTACTTTCAAGCACTTGATACCAATCGCCCCCACCACTCGATCTTTGGGATAAAAGCAGCGGAAGTCCATCAACGATATGAATATACTTGAATGATAGATCGATTCTCGAGTCCACTAGCAGTCAATCTGATTCCGGCGTGGTCATTACTCACCCAAAAACTTCACGGACAGTCAGCAATGTTTGCAAGTGTGCCTGCATCAGCACTTGCAATGCAGCATCTGGTTGTTTCTCCTGCGAGGAACGAGACCTTTTCCGAATGTGGCATCTGAAGTGGGGATTCAGAATGTCAACTAGCCTCTCCCCATGGGAGAAGAAAGTTAAGGCTCCTCCTCCAGCAAAGCTGCCAGGTGAAACTTAGCCTCAACAATGACACATCGCAAGCCACCGTCAAAATAGAAATGGCAGCAAAATGGTTCCAAAATCCAGGAGCAAACTTCCAATCTGAAGAAATTGTGGGGAAGGAACACCAGTTTTAAGATCTCTAAGCTGCGAGGTCTTTCATCTCGATGCCTCAACTCGGTGAGGCTCTAGAGCTATTGCCTGCCAGGTTTGATTGTCTGTGAATGTCTGCCATGTGAGGAGTGAAATGCCAGAGGACAGAGGCGCCATAAAAAATAGATTTTCGGCACTGGGAAGGGTGTGCAGCCCCTAAGCCCTAAGCAGCAAGACATGAAGCACCATGAAGCAATGAAAACATCTGAAATGCACTCAAAATAGATTGAATTCGATTCAAAGAGTCAGAGATCAGAGAGCCACAAAGGGAACAAAGGGAGCAAAGGGAAGAAATGTTGAACCATGTGTTGAACAAACTGCTTGTAGCAAACTCTGCTTGCCGCGAATGTCGCATCTTGTCACGGCGGCAAGGGCACCTCCTCAAGCTGCAACTTCCTCATGGCCACCTCCTCGACAGCAGCTGCTGTAAACACAGCTGACAAACAGCGGCGAGTTGCAACAGCTATTGCGATTGCGCTGCATGTTGCGCTGTTTGTTGCTGCAAAATCTGCCAAACATGACCTGTTTGGCCAGCAAAACATTATATATATATAAACATTGCTTCAAAATTAGTCCAAACAGCCATTAACTTCCAATCTCAGATGGTGACTTCCAGGGAGCACGAGAGGTTGACGCCTGTGCATCGAAGTCCAGTGTTGACAGCTGCACCAAAGGATCAAAGGATGGTTGATATTTTTGTTGAATTATTAGGCCTTAGGGGCCTTAGGCGCTTGGGCTCGGAGCAAATGCGGCCCAGTCACGTAAGGCATATTCCAAGGAAGCCAACCCCATCAAACCTGGCAAATGCCAATTCGGGTTCCAATCTTCAAGTTCTCTTTTTCTCTTCATGTTTTGTTTGAAAAGAAAAGCCTTAAATGTCGACATGTCCAAATGTCCAAACCATACACATCATACACCAATTTTCTGAAACAACGACAATCTGACAATCTCCATTTCCATCATTTCCGAATCATTTCCAGCTCTCTGGCGCCTCGGGTCTCTCGGATCTTGAGTTTCCCCAGTTCCTGCAAGGCTCCTTGGGACACCTCCTGTGCTTTGTGACGTTGCCCCGAGCGCAGCAGCGCCTGGGCCACAGGAAGAGGATGCGAAAAAAAAAAAACAGATAACTTAGATAACATGATGCAACGACATAGGTACAGCTGTCGAATGCCGGGTTTCCGGACACACGCCAAGTTGACCTTGTGTTCCATCTGTCGTGAGTCCATCCCTGGCTCCAACTCCTTGCAAAATGCAGGATTGCGGGAGCTGCAGCATGGAAATCAACATGATAAGACCACTTCCTACATTAAAAAAAAAACTTGGTAGGCAAGTAGTTGATTTGAAGAAATGAACAGATCGGTTGGGAGATCTCAAGAATTCCATCAACTCATAGCGAAGTCCCCGCGAAGTGCCTCTGACGCATCTTCCGCCGAAGGCCCCTGGCCATCTCGACAAACTACATACACTTGGCACACTTGGCATACATTACTTGCCAACCGCTACGCGCAAAAGCTTGGAAAGAGTGTTGTGCGTGTGTGTATACATATACGACAATAATCAACAATGTTCATACATATGTGTGGATGTCACTACTATCTATCTATCTATCTATCTATCTATCTACCTACCTACCTACCTAGCTAGCTAGCTAGCTAGCTATCTATCTTTCCTTCTTTCTTTCTTTCTATTTTATCTATTTATCTATCTATCTATCTATCTTTCTTTCTTTCTTTCTATTCTATTCTATTCTATTCTATTCTATCTATCCATCTATCTATCTATCTATTTATCTATCTATCTATCTATCTATCTATCTATCTATCTATCTATCTATTCTATCTATCTATCTATCTATCTATCTATCTATTCTATCTATCTATTCTATCTATCTATTCTATCTATCTATCTATTCTATTCTATTCTATTCTATCTATCTATCTACAGGGAGACTGTGGATTAAGCTATCTATCTATCATCCATCTCTCTCTCTCTCTCTATCTCTCTCTCCCTCTCTCTCTCTCTCTATCTCTCTCCCTCTCTCTC